CTGCCCCGGACAGTCAATCTGTGCGGACGCACGGACAGACAGAGAGAAAAAGACAGAGACAGAGTCAGATATTTAGCGTGTGTGTGCATGAGAGGTACATGTAATGGCTGGCGCTAGCAGACAACAAAAGAAGAGTACAAATTTATCATTTGGCTGCAATGAGCCAAAAGTGCACAGCAGAAGAAAATGCTCGTCCTGTGGAAACTATTAAGGACAAATCCTCTTTGAGTTGCCTGCTGGCAATGAGTTAAAAAGTGTGTTTCTGTGTGCGTGTGTGTGCCGGAAAATTTGCGAATGAAAAGTTAGAAGTTGAGTCAAGTTTATACGTTGCAAGTTGTGATGTGGCATATATGAACTATTGAGCTTAGATATATTAAGCAAATGCTATTAAAAATACGTTGGTCTTACAGCGTTCCAAAAATGTAAATTTATAAATTGTTAATAGAAATGTAAAATTAAAAAAGAAAACCATAAGTATAAAAATATATATAAATATATAATTTAAGTTATTTAAATTAATAAATATATATATATATATATATATATATATATATATATATATATATATATATATATATATATATATATATATATATATAAGCTTCATGTTCACAATTCAATAAATTATTGTGTTGGCTAGAGGAACTCGATATCTTTGTACGCGTAAACATATTCAGAGCCTGATGCCATATTGTCTGGTTGCAAATGCAGCCACAGACACGGACAACAGTGTGCAATATTAAACTACACTCACTCCATTATGCTCGAATACACTCTCGCAGCACACACAGGCGTGCATATATCACAACACACTATACAGTCACGCAGAAAAGTCTTTGCATTGTGTACTTTTTATGCTAATGTTTTTTGCAACAACTTTGTTCCGGCAAACAAAAACGAGTTGCTAGCATCGAAGCCAGGTGTGTTCCGGACTTGTAGCTGTCGCGTCCTTTGCTCTTGCGACTGCTGCACCTCAGCCAAGACAGGAGGACTGTGCTGTCTCCTGTGTCCCTTCTCTACTTTGTTGGCCAATATACGCTGAGTTTTGCCTTACTCGCTTGACTTTTGCGTTGTTTCTGTAATTTATTTTTGCTCACACTGAGATGAAACAAAGGACAAGGTTCTCGGCTGGGTAGGGGTAGGTCTGATAGTCGTTGGGGCAATCAAATCGGGGCAAGAATTATGCGAGTCGCACAGATGCGTATTTTGATATATGGATTGCTGTGAAATGGAAAGCATTTTGGCCCTTTCATTCGCGAGCCGGGCAAAAGTTAAGCATCATTTCCTTATTTATTTCCATTTCCCCAACCAGAAAAACTTTGCTTTAGCTCCCAAAACCCTTTTCGCAATTTTCTTTTTCTAGCATTTTCTTTTGCGTTTGGCACGAAACATAAATTGCGTTTGTCGCTGTTTCCGTCTATTTTTCCTTTTATTCACTCACTCTCTCTCTTTCTCTCTCTATCGTTTGTATTGCTTTGTTTGTTGCTGCAGCAGCGTCTGCGGTCGCCCCACAGTTTGACAATCACTGCGACGTCCACCGCGCTCCAGCTCGCCTCCGCGCATGCAAAACTTTTTCCTCTTTTGCAAATGAGATTTCGTTCAGTTGCCGTGATAAATTGTTGATAGCTTTGAATGTGTTTACATTGATGCTTGCTAGGAATGCGATGCGGAAATGAAGGAACTGCTTGTGTCGAGGGCACTTCTACTTGTGCGTGTGCGTGTGCGTGTGCGTGTGTGTGATGGTTGGGTGGGAGCTCTTGTGGTGTCTGGAATTCGCTTGTAAAGAAATTTTTGTGCCCTATTGCTGTGGAATTTATTTTGAGGCCCTTGCCTAACGCGTTTGTAAAACATTTCTCGCTTTTTTAATCCACAAATGCAATGACCTTAATTCAAAAATTATGCACAAGAATCTGAAGTAGGAGACAAGAGCGCAATCCTTGTAAATACTTCAGATAAAAGCATTCAGCTTATCCTTTTCAGTAAACAATGAAGAAGAGGAAATTTAAATATGGAGCGGCTTTCGAAATGTATAAGCAAATATTAAATATTACAAATTATTGATAGGCTTCCTTATCGAGTATGTACTGCTCGAAAAAAGCTTGCTTGAACTGTTCCCTAAAAGGAACTATTGAACCAATGCTTCGAACAATTTATATTAATTATGCAGGCTATAAATTTTGAACCACGTTTTGTTGAATACAAATTGGGATCGACTTGTGAACTTTTCAAAATTAATGAACTGGTTACTAAATCGATCTAGGTTACGTCTCGAAAATGAACAGTTTAACTCAAATTGCCAACTCTGAGGAGTCTGCTATTTTCTATTATTATTATTATTTTCAAATATCCAAACAATGAACTGCAAGGAGCGAGCTTTATTTTCATGCTGATAGATTATAATAAACATATCCGCATTATTTTGTGGTATGCAAAGAGGAAATTGTTATATTATACCTGTACTTCATTAACCAGCTAGATACTTAGTAACATATGCAATGAATCAATAACAATATGATGAATAATAACAAATATTTGAACAAGAGTAATTTTGGCAAATTTGCTAATTGAAAAGTATTTCTAACATATCCGATTGAAGTGCATTTTAAATGAGTGGCCCTGATGCAAATGATATAAAGCACTTTTAAATGCTAATGCGTACTGGGAAAAATGTAAATGAATGGCGTTCAGTCAGTAGAAAATTTGGTCGAGTTTATGCGCTTTTATTAGCAACAGCAACAGCAACAGCAGCAGCAACGGCAGCAGCAACAACGAGTGGATTGAAACGCTAAAAACAAAATGAGCTGAAATCCAATTAAAACTTAAATGCAGCAACGAGCGAAAAAGTCGAGTTACTGCAACTTGAAATGTTAAATTTTTGCAGGCCCCGTGGCCAGTGCCTTGCAAGTGGCATCAATGGTCAAGTTGAAGGGTTCCCTTACCGTTAGAGCGGCATAAAGCGCAGGGCTTGAGGGCGAGTGTATTATAAATAACAGCCAAACACGCAAACAGTTTGTGTAAGTTTATTTACCAGGTGAAATCTTCATGACCCCTTCCACCAGAGCCCGAACGAGTTAACGACGCGCCCGACTTGGCCACGTTTGGTTGCGTGCCAAGTCCCAGCCAGGAAAAACAGCACAAACGAAGAAAACTTTGCCTCAAGAGCAAAGTACAAAAGCATTAAGACAACGAAATAGTGCTACCTGTAGAAAAGGCTAGTTTTAGCGGGAAACTCCACTGAAGCTAGAACTAAAGCCAAAGAAAAAGAAAAGGAAATTAGATAAATACAAGTGCCAAAGGTTTCGCAGCACTATGAGCACTGTAGTATAACTTAATTTGATTCCTTATTTATGGCACAGTTATTTCTATCTATATTGTTATAGAGTGTCAAAGTCACATATAAAAAGTCTAGCTTTATTTAAAGTAAATGCAAAGTAAAATACAAATTAGGACCTCAATTACCGAATAACATATATTCTATATTATTCTATATATAGTTAGAGAATATGTATTACTTAACTCTGTGAAAACAACTATCACATTGAAGAGACGAATTGATTTTCTATAGAAATATATAGAATATAGAAAATATAGATATATATATATAAATATATAATAATTCCAAAAACAATTTCAAAAAACAATTTTATTTTAAATTTGAATAAATATAAAATATAAAGCATATATATATATATATAAAATCAAAAAAACTTACTCTTCAAGTAAAGGCCAGATATAGCGGGAATAGGCCAACTAGCACGCATTGTTGATCAGCAATGAGAACTTTGATTAGGTTTCCATGCCTGTGGCGTGCTTAAAGTTGCAACGAGTAGAAGCCAGCGAATTAACTAACCCAACTTCCACAGGCGTCCAAAAGACGTTGCCACGGGCCGAAGCAACGTGCTTTGGTTAGCTGAACTGAAGTCGCTGCAAAGTAGGCTACGCAACACAGATACAGACACGTGCGCCATTTTGAATACAACGCACTAACCAACCCATAGGTAGCCCCGACAGGGACATAGAGAGTGGCAGAGACTGGCAGAGTGAGAAGTTTTTGGCAAATTGTGGTCAGGTGGGCACCGCCTTTATGATTATTGTCTTAAAATTAATCAATGTGCGTGTCTGGAGCGGAAGAAGTTTACGGACTAATAGATTCCTGGCAGCGCAATCTACTCACCCACAACAGGCCTCCGTCCCCGACAATTAATAGACTTTGAAGCTTAGTTCGAAAAGTTTATGTATTCATGCTTGAAATTAATTAGATTCCGGGCGAAAACTTAAACAAATTCTTGGCCACAGGCTCAGCAGGCGCTGTGTTTTTTTTGGCCCTGAATTTAGCAGCTTTGGCCAGCAACTTGTGCATTCAGCCTTCAAATTTCTTTTGCGTCTTTGTGGCACTGGCAGGATTTACGTTTTGTTGACTTTAAGCAACAACTCAAAAGGCTGCGGATGAGTGTTGTAGCTTTGCTCTTGCTCAAGTCGTTGGCCTCGAGCCATGGCATATGCTACACTCGATGCAATCCCGCATAATGATGTTGATGCCAGCTGGTGATTATTATTATTATTTTTGCTGTTGTTCTCTTTCTGGTTGTTATGGCAACCACACGCTCGTGTTTTTGCTTTGACAAGCCTTAAGATGTCGACTTGTTAAGCGTAAAGATTACGCTGCCATAACTTAAAACATTATATATAGGTATAATATATTATATAAATAAAAGCTTGAATTTATTGTGATAAAGTCAAGTTTTCTTATAAGGCTAAGTGCTAACTGCTAAGTGCTGTACACATGGCAAATATAAATATTTAATTACTGTCAGAGTAAACTATTGCTTTGAATATTTGCAAGCAATTGATTTAAATATTCTCAGCATGTGAGGCAAAGAAAAGCATTAACATTCAATATAGAGCTGAATATTTGTGGAGTCTTGTCAAAATGGATGGCGACCAAGTAAACAAGCTATGTAACTCTTAAATGAATATTCAAATCCCTTTGCTAGAGTTTAGTTGCAAAGTATTTAATAAAATTCATTCACACAATTTTTAGATATTTTTATTCTCCAATTGAAAGCTTTTAATCAAGTTAGTATGTAGTAGATCTGTCGGAGCAAGGAAAATATTTTCTATTCACTTGATTTTTGCAGCATTTTTTAAGCGGGACTTTGTGAAAGACCCTTATAATGGGTGATGTTGACAGATGGATAGAGGTAGTGCAGGACTGTCGATATTTGCCGGAGAATGAATTGCGTAAGCTGTGCGAGATAATATGCGACATACTACTCGAGGAGGCCAACGTGCAACCGGTCAGCACGCCGGTGACTGTCTGTGGGGATATACACGGTCAGTTCTACGATTTGCAGAAGCTTTTCAGCACAGGCGGCGAGGTGCCTGATACGAATTATATATTCATGGGCGACTTTGTGGATCGGGGCTACTATAGTCTGGAGACGTTCACCAGGCTGCTGACGCTCAAAGCACGCTATCCCAGCCAAATAACTCTGCTGCGTGGCAATCACGAGACGAGGCAGATTACCAAAGTCTATGGCTTCTTTGACGAGTGCTTCAGCAAGTACGGCAATGTGAATGGCTGGAAGTACTGCTGCAATGTCTTTGATTTGCTTACAATTGCAGCGATTATCGATGAGGAAGTGCTGTGCGTACACGGCGGACTCAGTCCGGAGATTGTGACCTTGGACCAGATGCGCACAATCGATCGCAACGGGGAAATACCTTATAAGGGTGCCTTTTGCGATCTGGTGTGGTCCGATCCAGAGGACATTGAGGCTTGGGATCAGAGCCCACGCGGTGCCGGCTGGCTGTTTGGCCACAAAGTGACCAACGACTTCATGGCCATCAACAATCTTAGTCTGATCTGTCGTGCCCATCAGCTGGTCGATGATGGCCTCAAGTACATGTTTGAGGAGAAGTTGGTTACTGTTTGGTCTGCACCCAACTATTGCTATCGTTGCGGCAATGTGGCTGCCATGCTTAGCTTTATGACGGCTAGGGAACGCTTTGCACATATCTTTCTAGCCGTGCCAGATGCTGAACGTGTAATTCCCAAACGCAATGCCACGCCCTACTTTCTGTAACCTACAGCCTATGAAGCGAAGCAGCACACAATAGAAACAGAACCTACACTCTCACTCGCCTACACAGCCAGTTCACAAATAAACGAAGTGAAAGCAAAATATTTATTGAGTTTGCGGCATTTACTCGCTTAGGATATTTTCTTCCTATTTTTGTTCGTCAATCAACCAAAAGAAATAAAAAATAATAATTAAAAGCTTGCACAAAGAACTTAAAGAATGTTTTCAGAGTTTTATTGCGTCAGAAAGTGATTTATTTTTTATTACTTCACAGATTTGAATTTAATTTCATATGAACCGAACTTTAAATAGAAATTTCTCTATATCATGCAGTCAGCCACATCTAATTTTGCCTGTTACAAAAAAGGAATTTCCTTTACAAGCATGATTCAAAATAACTAGCAAGAGAAAGACAATACAGCTCGGTCCGTCTATCGACTGTACGTGCTTCGATACCTAAAAACTGCATAAGCTAAACACGTAGTAAATGTACCATTGTATGTCTAGAGCCTTAATAATTCAAATATGAAGTTTCCAATAGTGGGACGTTGTATGAAGGCTCAGTGTGTATGTATGTGTGCAGGAAGCTTCTATTAAATGAAAGAGCAGCTCTGCTCAGGCTGCAGCGCGCTACTCTAACTTTTTATATCACTTTTAAAAATCTCGTTTGATGACATAACAATTTCTAATTTATGGCATAATAACCCAAAAATAACAGTTCACTTAATTGCCGTTTCATCGAACAAAATTGATTGAGCTTGCAGTATAATTGAAAGTTTAAGCTGCAATTGATTTTAGATTGGAGCAAACACATTGTTAAGAAGCTTTTTTAGCCACTTTGCTGGTTTTACTTTTTTTTAGGCCAAGAGAAAGAGACGGCTTCTCTTTAATGTGGCTTGGGGAGGGCATGTCAACTGTCAACCGTCATTTTATAGAGTTTTAAATGAAGGGCAAAAAATTGGTAAGGAACAAATTGAACAGCATTTATCAGCTGTCAGCAGTTTAAGTTGATGAAACAAGCAGCCCAAGTTGTGCCCCCAGTTGCACAGCCGGCGCAACACCCCGACAACAAACCATCCAGAAAACCAAACGATTCCCAAGCGTCTTCTTATACCCTGTACCCAGAGCAATGGCTAAGCTGAGTATGCTATTTTTTGGAAAATGTGGAAGATGAAAGCCCGGACATGTAGGGCAACAAAGTCTGTTCGTTCGCCCTTTTAAGTAATTTGATAGGCATTGCTGAAGCTTGATAAGTTTATGGAGTATTATAAAGGTCGTCGCTAATTCACAGCCATTTGTAAAATGAACAGGCTATCTTTTAGTCGTTCACCTCAATCTTAAGCTCTTTTACTTGTTTTTTTTTGTGGCGCTTCCTTTGGCAGGCGCCTCAATAATATGTACAAAAGTATGAAAGTGGGAGTGCCAAGATTGGAATACGCGCAGCAGCATTTTGATGTCGGTTTCATAAAGTTTTTGATTTAGCGCCGGGACCATAAATTGTGACAGTGCCTCGGCTAATGGCAGCCGGAAGTGTCCTGTGTGCCAAGCATTAGCTGTGCTGTTATTATTTCTGTGTTTCTTCAATGTTTTTTTTTTACTTTTTTGGCTTCTCTCTATTTACTGCTCTGATTATGATGCCATTTTTGACACTCGATAAAGTCAATAAACAAAATGAACGCAGGACATTTTGTGTGGCCATTTTGTTGTTGATAACGATTGATGTTATTTTGTATTTGGCTGTTTGTGCATTCGATTTATGAATCAATTGTTCACATAAATTTCTACTCATTTTATTTGCAGCATATCAAACAAGTGCTCCAATTCATCAGCAGTGGTAAGTTTTGAATTTTGTTATTTTTAATAGAGTTTTAATTAAAAAAGTGAGTTGCAGCTCGTTAATTGAAATTCAATTATCGGAAATGCTGCAGACATTTTTTAATATTAAATAATTTGGGCTGACAAATATCTTTTGAAATGTCAGTTGAAATTATTTATAATACGCTTCTGAATTCATTTCCAGTGACTCCCATCACTGCGACCATTTATTAATTAAAATTAATAGATGACATTTAATAACTAACGTAACTCAATTCATGAACTGATGGGGGAATTTATCTGATTTAAACTTACGAAAACTTTTCGAGCAGTTTCTGGTTTAAAGCACATAATATATGTAGATATTATTTATTTTATATGTAAATCATGAAAAATATCAAATTGCTTGTTTGTTATTCGATGTTTTTTGAAATGTGTGTGAGCAAATACGATTTGACCAGAAAAAACCATAGAACCATAGATATACAAAGTTTTACATATTTAATATGATGCCGTAGTTAGTTGCCAAGTTGGTTCATGTGTTGTGCACACCCATTAAAAGTCATGTATACATTAAAACATTACAAGCCATCTAAGTAGCTTAACTCAACTGAATGAAAATTGCACTAATTGACGTAAAAAAGTGGCTTAAAACGCTGCAAAAGGGAAAGCCTGCTTCATCTTTTTTAATCCAAATCTGTTGCCTACTTTCGATGGGTTGTTTGTTTTCTTTTCTCGCACTCATTCAGAAAAAGAAAAAAAAATAAACTGTGTCTGTCTGTCTATATAAGGGCTTAGTATATTGCTTCTATTGCAACTAGGGATTTGCAATTAAGAACATATAATCTGTCTCAACGGTAAACAAAATCATATACAACTTTATATTCCCTACATTTAAAATGGGGCACAGTAACTTAAAGTAAATATAATATAAATATAAAAATGCGCGAGACAAATCCGAAAATATTAATGCTTGAACAAATTAAATTGTTTTTGGAATGTGAGTTATGCAGTCGTTCGCGGCTGATTACGTGGCCGTCCTTCATTTGTTTTAAGTTAGTGTGCCCCATTTTAAATGTAGTTTATTGAACTTTCGCTGTGCAATTTGTATTACTAATGCCAATAGCAAACAAAGAGCTCGGAGCATAGCCGCCTTCAGCTGGAAGCTCGAGCCAATGAGTCGAATGATTTGGCCAATTGAAATGCTGCTCAGTTGCCGCCAGATGCTAGCAATAATTCACTTTTGGATAGCTGAGCATCGGGCAGGAAGTAAACGTGTGGAACTACGAATAAGACCTAGAGCAATGCATTAAATATGCAATCCGAGTCCGGGTCCGAGCCCCAGTTGTAGTCACAGTCCAAGCAAGGGAAGAGGCTGAATCATGACTTTAGCAACAGCTGGAGAATAGCTCTAATTTCAAGTTGAATGCGAGATGTCAACAACAACTGCTGCTGCTGCTGCTGCTGCTGCCACTACTGCAAAAACTTGGCTCAAATGCACTCATGTGTAAGAATGGCATTGTTTTGTATTTGGCCGTAAACAAAGCGGCGAACCGAACGGAACACAAGAAAAACTTCTTTCCTGTTGTTCAAAACTAGGCAAAAAGGTAGAAATCTGCCATCAAGTGAATAGCTACAACAAAACATCTCTCAACACTTGGCGAACACTTTTAGCAACAGCAGCAACAGCAGCAGCAGCAGGAATGGACTTCAATGGTCTGGAGATCCTTTCAGTTTTCTTCTTGGCATAGTACCTGCTAAAGTGCTATTGGGTTTGCTTTTGCTTTCTCACATGTGCCGGCTGTAGAGGGGGGCGTGGGGCTTCAGCAGAAAGATAAAAAACGAAGAAAACTCCAAAACACAAATGTAGCACAAGCACCTCTAAAGGCTACAACTTAAGTTGACAGATACCCAGATATCTCGTACTTTTTAATGAATTTTTAAATATTTATTTTAATATTTTAGAAGACATTTCTTTGGGCAATTATATTTAGAATAGTTTGATTTTTATGAACATTGACTAGAGGAGTCTTCAGGTCGAAATATAGTTGGTATAAATATAGAAGTCTAATATATAAAATTTGTTTATTTGTATATTTTAAAAACTAAAAATAAAAAAATTGTATTATATGCTTACAAACAACATATACATATATATTATATATATAATAAATTGCATACACTCATAGTCTACTTATTCTTTATTTTTTTGGAACAGAACAAAACCACTATTGGCAATTAATATCTGCAATCTTTATTTTATGGCTGACTAAAACGGATATTTATATTTTTTAAATATACCAATGCTCCATATAATAAAACTAAATGTAAGATCTGGTGCCCTTTAATTTCATCAAGACTTTAATTTTGCAAAAAGGTACACAGATTTGTGGTTGGTGGGGGAGAGACAAAAGTGTGTCTAAGCGTGAGACTCTTCTGTCTTGACTGCAGGGCATTCAACGTTGGTTTTTGTAATTTGAATGCAAAAAGTTTTGGTAGGGCTTGGCCAGGCGCTTTCTGTTCTGTTTTGGCAGGGGCGTGGCAATAACAAGTCATAAAATACATAGTACAACAAAGCAAATAGAATGCATGGAGGCGAAGGGAGAGCACTGTGGGCACAGACAGCAGCTGGCACAGCTGAGTGCACAAAATGCCCACAAAATGGTTGACGTCTATCTATTGTATGTTGTTGTTGTTGTTGTTGCTCGTTTCCGGTTTCATGGCAGTCGCATTTTTTGGCATGTGTCACCACAGCAAGAGGCTGCCAAAATCTTCGCACTACAATTGCATAGGGAAAGGAAAATGCTTTCGGACTCGTTTTCCTCCGGCCACAATGGAAATGCATTTTCGCAAATTCCATTTGTTTGAGTTGAAAGCAAATCCTTTGAAAGCCAACCAGTTGCCATTTGCCAGTTGCCATCTACAACAATGCTAACCATTAATAATATAAAATGGTTGCACAAATTGAGCAACGCAAAGTTATTCCTGTGAGCCGTGAGGCCCGAAACTGGCCTATAAATTATTACCCTAAAATTCGTGTGCGCATTTTGTGTGCATTTTTCCTGCACAGTTTATAAATTTTCCGCTAAAAATGGGACAAAAAATTTAAAGCAACAGCAGCGAGGCAAACAATTTTCAACTTTTGAACGTGGAACTCACAATCTTTATAAAATGCTTTCCATAAAACAAAAGTGAAATTGTTGATAAACAGTTGCAGGCCCTACAAAAATATTAATAGTATTATTATATTATATTATATTATATTATATTAGAGGTGTTAAATGCACGATTTAATTAATTGTGAAATATTTAATTGGGATTAGCTGCGAATAGGCGTAGTCTATAGGCAGATGTCTCCTTTCCAAGCACTCCCTATACTCTATTTCTATAGTCATCACTAAGTTCATTGAAAATTGATACTAATTATAAGAAAAAAGTATATTCAAAACATAAAGAAGCGCGCATAAATAGAATAAAAATAAATGTATATTAAAAGGCTCTAATAAGAGCAAATTTAAGCATTACCTAGCTACAAGTATTACCTAGCTCTGCCTCTGTCTCTGCCGCTGCCTCCGCTGCTGCCAACGCAATATGCATATTGCCCAATCAAATTACGCTGCTTATGATATATACACGATATGGCCTCACTCGCTGGTAAAATAAATTCCATTGACGGTTGGCTTTGTGGCCTTTTCAAAGATCTCGTCCCGCTTTTGGAAATGCCGCCCACTTAAGGCGATGGTTGAAGTACATTTTCGTGAGTACAAATTCCACTTGGCCTTATGAAAATTAGATGAAGCTAAAGCATGACTACAAACATCTTAGGCGGAGTGCGAAAGTTAAGTGCCGTTAACGTTGATATGAACTGAATGAGTCATGAGTTTTTCGACTCGGCATATGTGCCACATCATTTTCCTCAGCAACAACAAAAAAGTCGAAAAACAACAGGAAATTTGATTCAGTGAATGCCAGTGCAGAGTTTTCCTTTCTTTCTGATACATAAATATGGCTTAAAGTGGTTGTTGTAGGAGTACATAAATAAAAGTGTTCGAACTGCAGCAGTTTAAAGCAGACAAATTTTAGTGCCTTATCGGTGGCCCTTTGTGATAAGAAAATTTATAGCTGACACACACATACACACGCTTAAACACACTTACAGAGTATCTAGAAAAGGCACAGGCTATAGAAAGTGTGGGTGGATTGAGCGGCCAGAGGGAGCGAAGGGAACTGTGGCCCATGTCGCTTTGGTAACATGAAACTTTTCTGGAGAATCACAGCTGGCAGTTGAAAATAACACTTATCGCCAGAGCGCATACTGGCAAAAAGTCTGGGCACGAGCATGGAGCTACAGGCTGGCTGCTTAAAGTGTCTTGGCAACGGCTGCATATATATATATATATATATATATGTATACATATATATAGATATGAGATCTGTGCTTTTATTGGCTTTTTGGGCTGAGACACACATACACACAGAAAGTAACTCGTTCTCGTTTGTAGTTTACTTTTCAACTTAATCCCTTCTTATTGAAAGCCAAGCAAAGGACATTCAGATAAATCTTTAGGTTACCAAGCGTGTGTATGCGTGTGTGTGTGTGTGACACGTGCTGCTCCATTCCGTTGTTAGGCAATGGGTTTAACGCTGTTTAAGTTCCGGTCCGACGCATTGAGCAATTTATGACTTGATTACAATGAACGTTTTCTCCACTGCCCCAAACAGACATACACCCTCACACCCCATTCCAGCCCATAGACCCCAAGGCATTGGGGGCTGGGATATCCATTTGCATGGCCGTAAAACGTGGGTATCTGCTCTTTGACTGCCGAGGAACAGTTTGGCAAATTGCAAATAATATAATAATAATATAAATAGACTATGCATTGGGTGCGGTTGCTGCCGGCGTGGGTGAGCGCGAAAGCGGTGGGAGGGGCATTAAATGTGGCTACAACGCGACAACAATTCAATTTAACGCTTCATTGAAGTCAACGCCGCTTCGGCCTGATTTTGTATTGTTTTATTTTATTTATTTTTATTTTTCTTTTTCCTTTTATTTTTATTATTTTATTGTTGCTGCTTTTTTCATTTTATTGTTGAGCGCGTGTTGATTTAATTTAAAAAAGAAGTTGTTTTATTTGATTTTATATTCTGTGCATCAAATTATAAAACACGCTTCATCGACCAGTTCAGGCGGCGTATACTTCATGTGAGTTCTTTAAAATTTGACAAGTAAGTTGATTGATGGCCGGCTGGAATGAAAGGCTCGCCAACAGCTGCACAGTAGCGACCAGAACATCAATTAAGTTATAACTTTCTGGTGAAGGCGATGAAAAATTGCAAGCCATATCAAAAATGAATATATCATGACTGAAATTACAATTCAATTGCCTACAACAGGCCACGTGTGGACAGGCCTCCTCTGCCCTAGACGCTACTTTCGCTCATAAATCTAGCTAAAGGCATTACTTATACAATACACACACACACAGCAGACACGCGCGAGAGGAAATGTAATAAGCAGCTTCTACTTCGGTTCCAAGCCTCTGTAGTATTAGAACAGCTGCAAATTTTAGCAAAATAACAACAAATAAAATGGCAGTCGCAGCTTTGGCGGTGACATTTGAATTCCTGCGCAAAATTTCTTTCATACCCGGCTCAATTTGGTGTTGTTGCTTTAGCTTTTGCTGCTGGTTAGCCGAAAATGACGTGACATGCATAAATAATTGAGTTTTGCAGCAGCCGAGCAAGCAGCAGCAACAAAAACAAACAAAGCCAACGACAAGCGGAAATGAAATATGGCGCATAACAAAATGGCGGCACGAGAGCCGCCATATTGAGCTGAGCGAATAAAATATTTAGGCGGTGGCATATGGAACAGAAGCAACATCAAGCCATAAAGCAAATTGCAAGACAAATAAATATACATGAATATACATATATCTGTCTCTATATACCTATATATAAAGAAAAGAGCAGAGCTCAATGTTAATCTATAAATCCGTTTCTCTCGCTCTCAATCAGAGCAAAACTCTTGGCAGGTGAAAAAGGTTAAAAATCAGTCGAGTGATTTATGATTTGCAATTAATCAGACAAATGGAATACTCAGCTACTTTCACTTTGGTTTTGCTACGCAAACAATTTAGGCAAATGAAACTCAAATATTGTACAATAACTGCTTCCATAAAGTACTTTAATCAATTCTATTTTCCAGCCAAGGGTGAAGCCACCAAGTATTACCACGCTCATTTGTATTAACGTACTCAGCGAGTGAGGTGAAGACAAATTTGCGTAATATTTCATTATATGTGAACATATATGGCTTCTATATATTATTCTATATCTATATATTATTCATTCAATAAAATGGTTTATATCTCATAAAATATTGGGAATACTTCAATTATTAAACATTCATCTGATTTGTGTAAGGGTACAGGGTACAAGGTGCAGCTCAGCTGAATAGGTTTGGCAAACTGTTAAAGACTTTTGCCTCTTCGGCGAAAACTCCAATTATCTAATAAATGTTGCTATATTGAAAAATGAAGCTGTTATGATGAAGAAAAGTGAAAGAAAAGTTTGTTCTATAAATTTTAACTTTTTTTTTATTAATTAATTTAATTAATATAGAAAAGCAATCGATAGCTCTTCAAGGAGTTAGTCTATTGACTGCCTACGTTATATATTTACTCATTCTTCTTAAATCACTATCTATATGGCTTACTTTCAGCAGTTGCTTTATCTCTGTCACATTCAATATGCAAAATATGAAAATATATATCAGAATTAATGGCAACTAATTATGCGTACAATATTTTTGTATATATTGAATGGAAAAGTTTTCCTTCGCTTTGCTCAGCTCAGCAAATTTATGTAAAACTAATTTGAAGTTGAAGCGCAGTTATTTTTTTCATTTTCATTTTCTCTTTTGGTGTGTTTTTTTAGCCAGCTTGGCTTTGCTGCTTCGCTCTTCTAGAATTTCAATTAAACTTTGCGTCACTTTGTCGCGCATCTCCGTCAGCGCCAGCTGTCAACCCGGCCCGGACTGTGGACTCCGGACTACGGAGACGTCTCTAATGGAGCTGCCTGTTTCTGGTACCGCAACTTGGCTGGGCTCCTGTCAACATTTGTTGAACACAAAATTTCAGTTTTGTATTTTACGCTTGACGCTTTACCTAATGGTTGGATTGACAGCCGAATTGGGGCAGAGGGCTGGAAAATGTTTACCAAATGAATAATGCATTTTTATCCACAATTTAGTCAAAGTGCTGGCCAGTTTAATATGCAGTTGCGGCCTGGCAAAAGTTATACCTGTTCGACCTCTCCGACTTCGCACTTCGCCCGGTTCAATTCCGATCGTAAACTTAATTATGAGCCGCTCTTGGGAAATGTACTTTGCTCTCTGCCAGTTTTTGATGCAAATTGTCAATAGTTTTTCTTTTGCTTTTACTTTCTTTTATCCAAAGATGTTCTTTAAGGTATTTTTTTTCTTGGCTCTTGTTCTTTTGCTTGTTGGCAAAGTTAAAAGCCAAACAACTTCATTCATATGCATAAACTGCAATCAAAAACTTTGCCCTTCTAGCAGCCTTACTGCGACTCTCCCGTTGGCAAAGTATTTTCAATTTTTAATAATCGTGGCTTATATGGGCGCCGGCTGACTATGAACAGCCAGCCAACCAATGCAGCAGTCCACCAGCTATTGCCAATAACTGTGCTCTTAACGGCTGGAGGCCAATGGGTAAAGTAGATAAGCGTCGTGGATGCTGATGCTAAAGGAGATGTTCCACATAAGTGTGTAAATATTGAGCACGGCACTAGAGAGACAGAAAGAGATATATATAGAGGTAAGAAAGTTGAGATGAGCAGCAACAACTTTATATACGTTGTCAGGAGGCAAATTTCTCTATTGAATACCCTTTCATTGATAAGAAAGATGTTTTTCACACAAATTACATGTAGTGAAATAGTAAATGTCTTCTTCTGTCTTTCGAACCCATTGGATATTGAAATTTAGGGTATAATAATTTCGTTAAAAAATATTTAACAAGCAGAAAGTGGCGTGGCAGAATATAAAAAAAACAGCATGATAAGCTGAATAGCTCTGTCTGCCTATCGAACACTCGTATGGATGAACGCAAGCTGAATGTCGATCTCAGAAATTATATTAAGTTGGTAATTTTATAAAATTTTGATTTTTTAAAATACTGAATACCAATTTCAAAATTTAATAAAATTATTTAAATTTTGTATTAAAAAGACACATTCAAATAAATATGTAGATCATATTCTGAAATTCTTTAAAATCCGTTAATAATAAAAATGTTCAAATCTTAAACTCGTGTGGCAAGTAGTGCTTAGCGCTCCCATTTTCTTGGCCGAGATGACGAAAGTTCGATTCCTGAAGCAAACTTTTTTGTCAAACATCTAATTTTTGCTTTGGGTATCTGCTAGTGGGACACATTTTAAAGTTTTTTAGGAGCATTTTGCAATGTTAGTCCTTTAATTTTTTTTTTTTTTTTTATGATTATATTTTTAAAAGTGTAGAACCTGTAAATGGCTACTTTTCATAATTGTTACATATTACATAATACTAGGGCGATATTTTTGCTTATTGATGTGCATGTTATCTCCGTCCTTTTTCCCATGTCCAAAGTCAACTTAATTACGGATAGAGAGGATGGATGGCAGAGGCAGATAAAGTGCATTTATGCTTCGTCTTGGGCTCTTGCACTGCTTGCAGCGTTTGGAGCTCGTTGCGGAAGCTGCTCTGGCCTTTGGCCCAGATTCCGTCGTCGCTCATCCATTGAGTTTTATGCAAATATGCGCAAATGTGTTCATTGCTTGAAAGTTTATGACACTTGCATGAGAATCTTCCATTACACCAGCTCTCGTAGCCCTTTCGGAAGCATTTTGCTGGTGGTGCTCGTGTTATAATCTTTGACAACTATCGGCATTCATGTGGCAGGCCAAGGGGTTGTATACCCCACTGCTTCGCCTTGGCTCTAGACAGATACCAGGCCTGGCATTTGATTTGCGGACTGGCCGAGTGCAACAGCTAACAGCTAACAGCTACCAGCTACCAGCTGCCAGCTGCCAGCTGCCAGTTGTGGCTTTCGCTCCACTCAACTCTCGCTCGCACTTGCGCTACGATGCCTGGATGCTGCTGCTATTTGCTCAGCATTTGCAATGAAGCCTTGTTCTGGCCAACAATAAATTTGTTGTTGTGACGAGCAGCAATAGCAGCAGCACAAACAGCAGTACGGTCAGGAGTTTGAGCCGGATTTATTCTCTAACTGCAGTTGTTTTGTTTGTTTGTTGGTCTATTTTATGATTTCTCGTTTCGCTTACTCGGTTCCGACATTAACTGAAATTGAAAATTTGCTGTCAACTTTGATCGTGTCTCAATTTCTGGCATTTACAATTTTTAATAGCTTGCAACTCAAGTTGCTTGCTTCCTGTGGTCGGCTCGCCTGTCTGTCAGCCTGCCTGTCGGGCTGTCCCTTGGCTTATCTTTAGGGTCGTGCGGTTTTGCTCCTTGCTATTTCTATATTTATGAGAAAATACTTGCGCTGAGAGTCCGACTGACTGCACACCTTGTGATTCGAGCATGGCACACGCCCCTTTGCAGCCACAAAGTGCACATAATTGACATACTAGTCGTCTAAATTACAACATTTCTGCCTTTGTACTCTAGTTTTCCCAGCGCTTTCTCTAAGACGTGTTTTGCATATTTGCAAATATTTCTATTCTATACGAAATTTGCATTTTAATGTCTTTTTGTGGTTGTCGTTGTAATGGCTGCTACTGTTCAATGAAATCAGACAGGCTTTAAATATTGCTCGGCTTATTGATCCAAGACTGGATTGTTTTCATGCGAATACAATCTGCTCTAAGGCGCGCGCTTTCATTAGGAAATCAATTAAGCGAGTTGGCAGGCAAACAACGGCTGGCTAAATGGACCAACATTGAGACGAAGGCAAAGGTAAAGGCAAAGGCCCTTTGATACATTGCTCATACGCCACGTCCAACGCCCTCACTGACCTACAAATGCAGCTCTGTTTCCTTTGGCCTTTGGCTGCGATGGACGTCGGCGATTGATGAGCAAACAACGTGCCATTTATTGCAATTACAATTTTGCAATTACCAAATGCAATGCAATGCGGAGTAGAAATATTTACTTTATGCTCGATGCTTGAGATATGCGCCTAATAAATCTGATATGGTTTCTCAAGAAATTTCATAATAAATGCACAATATATTATATTATATTGATATATTTCTGTATTTATTTTCCTCTGTGTAACTTAATAAAATTCATTTCATTAACTTAGAACATTGATTCATATTTTGGCTTTTGCTCTGTCCGTGAATTTTGACCCCTTGTATCTAGGTATCCTTTTTGGGTCTCCAATATGAAAAATATATATATATATATATAATATATAATATATATAAAAATACCAAACTTATATTATTGCTATAATTATAGCCATTCACGAATTGAAATGAATATATAGGGTTTGCTGGTCATCGTCTATCCGTATAAGCAAACCATTCCATTGTATATAATTGTGACTATTCACGTACGATAGTGTTAAGATACGCCCAGCAAGGGCGGTTCAAATCAAGAAATACTAAATCGTGTATGTCAGAAACGCAATAAGTAAAGGGCTTTAGACTTGAAGTTTGTAAAACTGTATTCTCTACATTCTTATATATTGTTGAGATACCCTTATACATATAGAAACATTGCTCAACACTCGCTTTAAATTTTATATCAGCTCATATAGTCTGGCCACACTGCTGAGTCTTCTCATCTTTATCTATCTATTTTATTCAAATCTGAGCTAATTGAGCCAGTTTTTAACAAATAAATAAATAATAATTCTTTTATTCGAAACTCGCTAGAATCAATCATTTGTAATTTGCTTTTTAAGTTATCTAACAGATGTGAAGAATTAGAAAATATGTTATTTAGTTATATTACTATAGTACTAGACTAAAATCCTAGTAGGGTATCTAAAGGCTGTTAGTAGCGTGCTTGCTTGCTTTAATTTAATTTTACTGCTCACATATTCAATCAACGAGCTTAAAACTCATGTTGTTGCTGTTGTTAGGATTGTTGTTGCTGGTCTGCCTTACTGTCAGTATGCTCCGGCTGGAAACTTCGCTCTTGGCATATAAATGAATAAGAGAGAGCATATATAGCATTTAGTTCGTTTCCACGAGTCATTGCCAATGCAATTTTCAACTTTCAACTAAAGGGGAAATGGGATAGAAATGCAGACGGGGATATAGGGATATAGGGACGAGGCTAGAGTTCATTTCGTATCGTTTCGTTTCGTTTAATTAAAAAACCAATTTTAACTACGAGTGCAATTGATGGCAGCAACTGGGCCAAAATAACTCACAATAAACAAATAAAAAAGAGATACAAACATAAATAAATAAATAAATAACTACAAACGACGCTAGATAAATAAATGGTAAAAAAAATATGTGAGGCAACAGCAAAAGGTTGTTTCGGACGGCTCGTTGAATACAAGTTATACACTTCATACGTCAACTGCAACTCAAAGCGTTGTTGGCTTTGAATCGTTTTGCGAAGTGCGCAGTGCGCAGTTTCCTTCAACGGAAGGGAAAACCTTTTCTTAGCAGCGCCCCGGAAGGTAGGCAACACAATTTGATCACAACAAAATGTCGCTTAATGTGGCGTGTCCTGAGCTATTGAAACGACAATGTATACATATATATGTTTAAATATATATATATATAAGTATGTGTATTTGTATTTGTGTGTGTGACCACCTGTGCCTGTGCATGCCAAGGGTTGGCATATCGACATGGGCGCCATGTGGGGAGAAGGCTTTTCATCGATTTTCTTTAAGCGGCAAAAGTTTTGCCTCAAACGCTCTCGATACACAGCTATGTTCGGAACCACTCATGCAACAACTACAACATCTGACGACAATTGCACAACAAAAATAATAGCAACAACAACACTAACAACCCCCGATGCCCCGGTGTTTTATGTTTTACGTTCTCTACCCCAAAATCTACTCCAAAGCGATAAATTCCCGGCGTTTTTACGAGCCTGGCCCGGAATGCAGGCGAAAAGTAAAAACAACATATACACTGTGTAGCTGTCTAGGAAAATTTCTATACACTGAACGAATGTACTAAATAATAATAATTATAATTAGCAAATAAAATCATAAAATTGAGACTACAAATATTATAAATATTTTTTATTGTCTTAACTCTAAATTTAAAAAAATGCTTAAGATTTATTTAAAAATAGGAATAAAGGCATTTCTTAAAAAGACATCGCTGTAAACTTATTATTTACGTTCAGTAGACCCAGGAAGCTCTTCAAACAAACGACAGTTCGACGCACGTATATTTATGTTTGCAGAAATTGCTTGCAGTGTATTGACACACCCTCGCTAAATGCTAATGTCGGGGTGGTTAGGTTGGCTTTCGTCTCTGCGCTCGTCTAAGGTCTAACGCAATTTAAGCTCTACAAAATTGGTCGCATTTCAACGCATTTCGATGCGTGCTGTCGAATGTTTTTTATTTGGTGGTGGTATGTGGAGTTGTGGTCCCTGTGTATGGTGGCTGCGAAGTGGTTGTTAGTGTTGTTAAACGAGTGCAGTGGTTCTGATTTAGCCCGCTCGCTTGTTAATTTATGCACTCGCAATTTATGCGCTTTTATTTTTATATATTCTTTTTCTGACACATTTTAATTGCACTAATAAATTTCAAGCAGTATTCGCGTAAAATGTATTTTGAATTTTATTGCTTAGTTCGGTAATATTGGGCCTGGCATTATAATAAATCATAGTTATTGTGTGGTTGACCCACTTAAATTGCGTGCGCCAAAAAGTAGGCAACGATTTTTTGCTGCATTGCTGTCGCACGTCTGCGGCTGCTGGAAATTGAAAAACGTCGTCGTGCAAGACACGTATTAGCTCGGCACATGTGTAAATCCAATTCAAAACATGCCACGTGTTTTTTCTTCTTTCCTTCGCATCGTTGTTAAACTTTTGCTTCTGCAGCAATGCACAAAATTGTTTTTTATTCCATTTCTTTCTGTTTCTTTCCTGGCTGCTACTCTGGCTATGCTGCTTGGTGGTGCGACGAGGCAGTTGTCACGCGCCCCAAAAACAAACTTTGCACAGCATCCCCACCCCTTTTAGAGGGGTTTGTTTTTTGTTTGATCTGGGGGCAGCTGCATTCCGCAGTGCACAAAAATATTTGCTACAAAATGCAGCCGCTCGTCGGGTTATGTAAACGAAGCAAATGTTGCAGGAAATGTTCAAGTCATGAACTCATTTTGAATAGAGTGCCACCAACATCAACATCAATCGGTAATATATATATAAAGAAATATGAATATACGAAATGAAAATTGACAGCGTCTCGTGGTTTGCCAGTCGTACTGTGTGCCTGGCACTCAGCGTGGCATGCAACGGGCTGTGACAGAAAAAGACGCTCTTTAACTGTGTTTGACGAACTCTCTGCTCTCTGCAGCGAACCATATTTTCTGTTTGTTTGCTTTGTTCTTTGCCCACTTCATTTAACTTCAAAAAGACTCTGCTGGATACGAGACGAGAGCGGGAATTGAAGTGAAAGCCATGCACAGATGGTTGGGCTCTCCATATAAATTAGCATGAGTGGACTTGAGTCTCTTGAAGGCAAACTGCCAAAAGTAATCGTGGGCGGTGTCTAGGTATGGCCTCTTCACATGCAGAGCACTAGAAGAGTATATCCGCGGGCGGGGCGTGCTCTCGACTGCTGCTCAAGTGTCATTTAGCATTTTTCGGTGGCATGTGAAGTGGCCGTGTGGCATGTACGGCAATGGCGGCTAATGCGGTTGGTGTGGTTTGGAGGCAGATAAAGTCGAACGTCGTAGCCACAATGCAGGTGAGAACTATACTCAAACCAGATAAATGCAGTTAAGTGAACTTTTTCATTTGCGTTGCGGCGTGCATACAAAAAGATAACGGCAAAAAGGAATGGCTTCTGTAGCCGAAGCATAAATTCCCTTACACATATGAAGAGCAATGCCTATGAGCTATAAATATCAAAAGAAATTAAATGCATAAACATGACTTCAAAAGTAAATATAAATTAGAGAAAAAACAATATTTGAACTTGGCTTTTATGATAAAGTACAACAGTTTTAATTTCTTTGGCATCATGTGATTATGAGATTATTAAGAATCATAAATATTTCAAAAGGGTGTGTACTTTTCTGCAAACGTTATTAACTTAATGGATTGTAAGAATTTTAAGTGCCAGAATCTCGACGCGGATCAGGTACTAAAAAGTTAGAGTATACGCTTACTTGTTTTCTTCAAGGTATCAAGAGCTAACTTTTATTTCACGCCATGAGCCACAAAGGAGTGTGCGACTAAGAGATGCATACGAAGACACTCGCCGCTCAAGCACACACACACAAACACACACATAAGCTATAAAGGGGCTGTTTCACTTTGCGTTAAGGTCGTGCGAACGCGACAAATTGCCAAAAGGTGGAGAAGCGTTGCAAAGCTAAGAGTGGGCGAATGGAGAGAGCTGAAATGCGAGTTAAAAACAAAGCAAATGCCCCAAGGGGGACAAAAGAAATGTCGGCATCTGCATTTATGACTTTTGCGGCAGGCTAATCTGATGCTGAGCATATCAAAACACAAGACCCACCCGCTGCAGCAGAAGCCACCCCAGCCCAGAACTTGGATCCAACGACTGAAGCACATGGCCTACGCTGTGGATGCGAGGAAGGGAAGCAAACAAACATGTAAAGATTGTAATTAACATAAAATTAATATCAACATGTAAGAGGAAGTCCTTTGCAAAGCACGACTAGCAGGAGTCGACTGCCAGCTGGACTGTTGACACAGCTCAAGACTGCACAATTACGAAAACATGAAATACATATATACATATATATATATATATATATATATATATATATATATATATATATATATATATATATATATATAAGACGTGTATATGATGAAATGATAGGCTGCTTTTTGTTACATGTATCTCAGTTTGATGCTTTGCTGAGCTGATGTTGAAGAACCAAATAATGTGTTTGACGGCATTGGCTTAAAGCTAACACTCACCCGCAGGTGTGTTGAGATGTAATATACATATGTATACGAACAATACACATACCTATATGTATTTTGTGTTACGAGATTAGCAGATATTTATTCGCTATCACATATCTTATCTACATTGTTATGTGTGCAATACACAAGAAGTTGTTTAATAACATATAGTTATATATGTTTTGATCGTCAATATATTTCCATTCAGAATGATAATTCCCGTCCAAGCTGCTCGAGTTCCCACTCGTAATTGAGCAATTGCCAATTATATTGCCAACACATTAGCATCAATTAATTTTCACAGTTTTTAATTACGTGCAACAGCAAATTATTTAATTTTTGCATGACAAGCAACAAATTGAGGCTGATAATGTGTCGGCTGGTGGCTTGGTGGTTTGTTTAACAAAACGCCACATTTTGTTAAAAAAAAAATGAGGGAGCAACAGCAGCTCGTAAACAGTTAGCGGTTATGTTCTTATTGCTGTAGCCTTGCAGCAAATCCCGACCGGAACACGCAATGCACGAGGCATACCTGGTTGCCATTAGCGCCGGCTCGTGTGCCTATATGTTGTCTATAATTATGCATGTTGCGGCTCAAAGGCGCAACGCATAAACAAGCGCCAGACAAAGACAGCTGGAACTGAAAAGCACATGCACGTGCACACATATGCCTGTGTGTACTTCCCAGGCAGTTGCTCCCGCGGGTCTCCATTTGCTTTGTTGGCCGCCTGCCACGACGGCTTAATTATGCGCCATCTGCAACAGCCACATGACAAACAATTGCTTGTTGCTGGCCCAGGGAAGGAAGGCAACTGTCTGTGGCAACGCCTTTGCCGATTGATTTGTGACTGCTTAAAGCTACTTTCCAGACATATTTCAAATATTGTTTATTAAAGTTACAATTTATGCTTAACACTTGTTAGTATTTGGTTTTCGATTTATTTTTTTGAATGTGCGCTGTATGGAAATATCTTGTATTGCTTTTGTTTCAGTGTGTATTTATTGCAGATGAAAAAAGTATGCAGCTTCACTCTTGGCATAGGCCTCGTTCTGGTCTTTTAATTCACTTGAGTTCATTAGAAAAAAATTATTAAAGCTAAAAATAAATTTCAATAAGAAAACTGCATTTTTACGATATGAAAACTTTTATAAAGCTTTTGTAATTTATACTTGAAATTTTGAAATTTTAATGGCATTAAGAAGCAGAAGCTGAAAGCTCAACTGAAATTCTAGTTTGGCCTAGGTATTAGCATTAGTGTCAGCGTCTAGAGTTTTAATTTTTCAAAATTTCAATCCCTCTTTAACCAATATGTACATAAAAATGAGCAATAAATTGATTATTATTTAGTGAGCAATGAGTTATGGGTTATTGGCAAAGAGATTATGACGCAGGCATCAGAGATATTAAAATAAATGCTCCAAAAAAAGCTGCGGATTTTCTCTTATTATTCATTGCATAGGCATCGGACTCTAGGAAGATGAAAGATCGATGCTTATAGTACATGAAGACAATATATTCTATACATAGTTAAAATGAAACTATGCCTTAAATAATATCTATAGAATATATGAAATTATGCCCGTAAGCTAGCATAATGATATACTGAATATGTAAGACATGTTATATTCTAGTTAATTTATTTCCTTTTATGCCACTTCTCATTGCAGCTAACAAAATAACTAATCAACACACGTATATAGAGAGAATCAATTGATATTCAGTGCTAAATATGCGACAGCAATCAACAAATGCTGGACGCACAAAATGAGGCATATCAGCGAGCAAATAATATCGCCAGCAACAATACCAAGGGCAATAATAACAAAGCACACAACAATGGGAACAACAATGAGCATCACTTAAGCAAATAGAAAATCAACGCGCAAAATCAACACGAAATCAATACAAATAGCTGTGAAATTTACTGTCAACATTTGTTGCCATAGCACAAGCGCGGAGACAAAGATATAGAAAAAGTAATAGAGGCAAAGAGAGAGAGGGAGAGAGAGAGAGAGAAAGAGAGTGAGACAGAGAAAACAAAAGCGTGAGAATCGACAAACAAAGAGACTAGACAAAGCAAACTCCATTTCAAATGGGCGGCAAGCATGGAGCCAGCGGTAGTTCCGGCGGAGGAGGTGGCGGTGGCGGTGGTGGGGGCGGTGGTAGCGGAGGTCCCGGAGGCGGTGGCAGCCTCAACTCGAGCATATGCAACTCGGTGCTGACAAATGCAACCGCAGCTAGCAATAGTCTAAGCCAGCAACAGCAGCAGCTTCAGGCCAAATACATCAAGTCGAAGCGCCATCAGAGTCGATATACGAATCTGCAGCATTCTGGTCACGACTCCAGCAGCTATTTGCATCTGAACTCGCTCTGGTCGATATGGTATGGTGTACTACTAACACTCTTTCAAGGCTATTTGGCCATGCATGGCGCCTATAGGTTCCTTGGTAAGTACCTATTATAAGAATATAAGAACAAGAAGATGATTATGATAATATATTTGTTATGTTCATTTTAAAAATGGAAACCTTCATTACAGGTTTAAATATTTACTGACTGCTGTTATGCAATAATTGTATTTTATTTTGTAGTTAATGAGTATCTTCAGATATAAATATTCATTGTTATTTTCTTGATTTTTTTAGAACTAAAATTTAAAATATCATATATAAAATCTACATTTAGTAAAAACATATATTGCTTATATATAACAATTTATGATAGTATGTAGTATATATAATTGCGGCTATTCGAATCTCCTTAAGGTGTTTATTTTTACTTGGACTCTACATCAGTTGATGCTGCGCAGAATTTCGCTGCTTTTAGCATATATTTTATTTGCAAATATTTCGTTGCTGATAAAAATGGGAACATAATAGTATTCATTGCTGCTACGCCTCCTTTGAGATGCTTTTAGTTAACGCAGCTAAAAAAACAAGTGCTCTTGTTATGATTTAATTAACGCTGATTTGTATTACTTACAGGTTGTTCGCTAATACCCTGGAAGATCGAGCCCGTTGGGGAGCTAAATCTGCAAATTGTACTCTCCGGCGTAGTATTTATTTTGCTGCCCGTATTCTTTACATCGGCCGTATTTAAGGTGAGTTGCTCCTTTAAATAAACTGGGGCTTAACTTAATTTGGGATCACGAAATTAACTGTGCGGTTGTCTGGGCAAACAACAGACGCCCGATGAACGATAATGAAATTGTATTTTGCACTCTGCTGGCGTCTGCACTGGCGTGCATCCTTTGTTTCTCTATGAACTATTTTTAGTGGCATTATTTTCGTTATTAAATTCATTTGCAAACAAACAAGGCATACGCTCTTGCTCCTGGACAGTTATCCTGACCAGCTTCTGACTCGTGCTGCGCCACAAAATGGCTGCCGATGTGGAGAATGCACACAGATACACACACACAAACACGCGCCAACATTGATACAATTGCGTTGGTTATCCTTTCACATACATATACTCACACTCTCACACACACACAGGGAATCGCTCGCATATAGTGTAGGTCTGTGTCGTTCATGTCCCTGCTTTTATCAGCATAATAAATGCAATTATGGCTTTTTCATTTTCCATCTCACTCAGATGCCGTCTCACTCTAACACATAGTGCTTTATTTATTGTCTATTTGAAGTGCAGGCAGACGATGGCGTTGGCAAAACCTCGATAGAAAAATACAATAACTTGAAAACGGCTTTTTATACCCTGTGCATTAAAAGTGTGCTATGAAAGTGGGGTATAGACGAACTCTAAAGAGAAATATCTAGTAAAAATCTAACGTAATAAATTTCATATTTAAGTTTTCTTTTTTTAATATTACATAATTAACATTTTGTGAAATACCATTATTCACCTCGAAGATAAGTTTTTAATTATCCTCAGATATTCAGTTGTTCTAACATTAATTCCAAAGAGCTAGCTATATATTGCTTAAAACAGTATATCAAAATCGATATCGCTTCAGTCGAAGGCTTTGGAATTTTTTGTAAAGTATCTTGTGCGGCATGCACTGTTAATGCCACTTAAAATAGTCAGCACCAGAGAGAGAGAGTGAGAGAGAGGGCAGCAGTATAAAGGGGCAGCTGGAAGCTGCAGATACGGCGTTTGCTCTACGGCATACGATGTGTGGAGTAGGAGGCAAATAAGAGTATGTCCTCTGTCACTTTTGTTAGTTTGTATTTAAGCCAGGACACAAACAGTATATGGACAGCTTGTCGCGGGTCTTTCTCCGATAATTGGCTTGTTTCTAGACAACTTAAAAGCTGAAAGAGTGGAATAAAAATAAAACAGCAGAAAGCACTATCGCGAGCAGATTCAGCCCTCGATGCGCCAGCAGTGTATGAAATATGTAGCTCTCAATATGGCTTAAAATTTTATGCAAATGAAAGCGTAGCCCCACCGCCGCATACACAACTCCAGCTGGGAGTCAACCAAAATCTGGCTATCAGTCACAGCACAGCCACAGCATGGCAGTCAGCGCAAATCAAACAGCAACAGGATAATTGAGAGGAATGGGAGAGGAATGGGATCACACGGCAACCATTTAATAAAGCCAACAGCAAAGGCCAATTCACTGACTGAGCAAAAACCGAAGCCTAACATTGGTCATTGACGCGTGGCTATCAGGACGCACTGGCACAGGCACAGGCACAGGCACAGGCACAGGCACAGGCACCGCCGTATGTACAGGCGCAGTCACAGGAAATAGCTAGCAGGCAGTATATCTGCAGCCAATTATTTCAAATTCATAGTTGCTGTCCACTCTTTGCCTTTGAATGCAGACTGCTAGGAGTCTATGGCAGCAGAATTTTCACATTTAGTGTCGTGTTCCATGCTGAGTCAAATCCGACAGAACTTAATTTGTTGCGTATCTTAGGCAAAGAAGCATTTGCAATAGAAAGTACATAATCAAAGACTTGGGTCTAGCACTCGTATGTTCATGTCCGCCTCATACAGAGCATTGATATTTCATCATTTCCAATTTCAAACTTCATATTTTTGTCAGGGTCAACACTTGTGTGAGATTTTGAAGGTAGCATAGGCTTTACTAGTCGTAAGTCTCTGGTATTTGAAATACGCATTTTATTAATTTGTTGCGAAGGGGAGTAAGAATCCCAAATCTCTGTAGTTATTACAGAAGTAGAAGCAGTAAGATAGATATTTTTAATATTTACGGCTACGCTTAAAAAAAGAAGCCAAGTTATCGATTTTTGTTCGTTAATGGAAATGGAATGAGCTATCGAAAACACAATAAGCAAACGGATTAGCTGGTTCAACTGAGCTCGTCGTCTCAGATCTCAGATATTTAGGGTAATTCTGATTTGCATATACAGACGATATTATAAGAAATATATATATATTATATTTTCATTTCGCTTATGTGAGCATTGTTAATAGCAAAGCACTTTGGAGTACATAGAAATTTAAGGCGTAGGAACAGCTGCCGTTGAGCAGTAGTTGTCTCATAGTCTTGAACTCTGCGTAATTTAGCGAAGAGTTAACCATTTTGATCCACGGTATAAAGTATGAAATGTTCGTGTAGACACCTGGAAAAAATCTTCGGCCACAATCAATGCCCCAAGAAATTATGCCTGTGAGGGAGTTCATGCAAATGAGAGGACCACCCGAATCTCCTCTACAGGCATCAATGCCGCCTTTCAGCCAGCCGGCACACATTTGAGATTTGGGCAGAAAGAGGTAGATAAAGGTGCAGAGACGTTGGGGCAAAATCGGCACGTTAGCGGCCATCAGCTGTTTCTGCTGGTTACCCCAGCCGCTGATTAGGCAAATGGAACCATCCCGTAAAGGCTGTTTGACGAGCGACACGGGCTGAATGTACGGAGAGTCAGTGGGTATAATACCATTGAGGAATAACAAAGCAATATCATTCTCAAGCGTTGTTTGACGATAATTCGCATGCGCAATGATCTCTTCTATCAAATACACGAGAGTAAAATTGTTCTTTACATTAATATAGGTTATACCGGCTACGACAACATAGTTTTCGGAACTTCTATACTGCACCGGATTCGTATTATTTCTAAATATTAGGTAGTGAGTACAGGTAATAAAGCCATCGGTGTGTAACGTTACCCACATTTCAAAGCAGTGAGCAGCGGAGCAAACCACACGCTGCGATATCACTGAGCCACCGCACATGTGGCCAGTGCCGAAATTTGCCTCGTGATAGGCACGTGCACGAATTGACACAATGTATGGAACTTCGTCAATGGTTACTGGATAGCCACCCACTATCTTGGCGTGCGTCTCTTCGGTCCCTTCAATGACAATACATAATTATCAAGCACATGTAGATTTGCATAACTCACGCTGACCAACGTCCACAGCAGCAGTTGCTGTGAGCAGCAAGAAGGCAATTGACAGCACTTGACTAACAAACATTTCCCGTGACCCGTCGAATGGTGCTGGCTGCTAGTTCAATTGGACGATACATTGAGCCGGAATAAAAAATTGTTTCTAAAAGAATCACAAATCGATAATACTGCGATTCGTAAGAGAATTTTTAAAATTCGCCTTCGAAATTCGTTGCTTTTGAATTTGACAAGAAATCCACTTCGATACTAATTGTAAAAATGTGAAAACGCTGAGCATACATAAATATAGTTTGATTTGCCCGAAACCTAAATTTTTTTCTTTAAATATTTCTTATTATTTCTCATATCTTATTGTATATTTTGTTCTGCGCTTTCCTATTGTCTGCCAATTAATATGATGACTTTCAAATACAGTTTTGTAAATGGTTTGCTCATAAATAAATGAATGAAAAAAGAGTGCTTTAAGCACTGGAATGTTAAGATAGAGGAAGCAGCTTTATGCGGAGCACACTTGGAACTTCGGGAATTTAGCAATTTAAATGAACATTAAGTTAGTTATTTCTTTGCGGCAAATGAAAAAAGCAACATGCAGCCAGCGTACATGAGCACAGTTGCCAAATAGCTTGCTGATTTTGGCAGGATAACACATACCATTTGTATGTTGGAGTGGCTGGCCAAGGACTGACTACTACCTAGGGTTACCTGGTCCACTCCCAAACACTGTGCTGCATATGTGAATGCAGCATATAAAGAGCGATGCTGGCGGTTGTGTTGCTTCTTTTAGTCGGGCGCGGGTAAGGTTTTTAACCGCGATGTGTCGGCACGCTTAAAGTATTATCTCGTTGGGTAAATGGGTGTCCACTTTCCATCTCACTCATACACGCGCACAGTATACACAGTGCTGCAGCTGCAACTGGAGCTCCTCTGTGTATGCGTGTGCACTTCAAATGGGTTTCGCTTTTTGCGAATTGCAATCATTGTTGTTTCACGGCAAAACGTAACGTAACGAAACGAACCGAATCCAAAGCAAACAAACCAAAAGCAAGTCAGAATATCGGACGTATCCAACTAGGAAGTATATCTCCTGTCATGTCATCTCAGGAACTGATTGAAAACAATAAGAGAACGATCGTTGCTTAGTTGAGAAACACTTCTTTATAGAAAATACAATTATTTGTATATTCTTTGAAATTATGTAATAAAATAAATTTGTATTCTCAATTATATTATTGCCGAGATATATTACTATAAAATTGAGATTCCTTGTCGAGCTTTGAACCATTTAAATTGTTATTACCTAACCTCTAAGCTCTTACTGCCATTCGAATAATGCTCTCGAGTCAACTACCCAAAACTAATATACTCTCTTTACTCAGCGAACTCGTAGAAAGCCAAAAACAATAACAAAGAGCAAAGCAAGCTAAATCGCAGCGAGATCCATTTGCAATGGCTGTCTTCTCGCTTCTCACTGTGATTCCATGAAGTCTGCTTGTTTTTAATTTAAAAGCCCAGCAGCGCACATTTATTTATATGCTGCACGTGATTTTTATGTTTCCCTTACTTCCACTAACACATAGAAATGCACACACATACGTGTGTGTGAATCCACACGCTGTATATATAAATATTTCATTTCACCATTTGTCACGTGCATTTTTTATGCGCCAACGCGTCGCATACGCGATATTTCGCGCATAAAAATGCAAACTCAAAACACCCGCAATACATTTTACTTTGTTGTAAACGCAGCAGTTTATTTAATATTTTACTCTTATTGTTTTGCATAGTTTTATGTACGTATTTTATTTTTTATTAATTGCACGTCACGCCGCGAGCTCAGATTCTGTATCAAATGGAGCTCTCAGGTGGTATTGTGTGTGGTTTTGAATGCACACGCCTCCCAGGGATTTCAATTTGGTGGCATATTTTTAGTTGTGTCTTTGGCTGTGCTGCAAAAGCTTTCATTTGATTTATGGCTTGCTTTATTTATAAATACAAACAAATTAAAGCCAATTTCGACTGTGAATAATATATATATATATAAAATGAGGATACATGAAAGCTTAATGCTTAAATTGTCGATTTTATAGCTTGGTATCCAAATCATATGCAATTGACCGAGCAGTCTTTTGTACGATATAGAATAATCGAACTTAGATCGAAACCCAGGGAGACTGCTAAAGACAAAGGAAGGGAATAACTTATATAATTTGATTTGTTCCTTTAAGTCAATCAATTTCTTGCTTAATTACAAATAAGTTAAGGAAATATGTGTTTAAAGTGGAATGTATAGAAGTTTTACAGTTGATCAACACACACATAGCCTTAATCAATTTTTTTACTGCTTAGCTATTGTTTAGGTAATTTTAAATAAAATGTAGTCTTTTTAGACAGTTTCCAGTTGAACTTTGCGATTATTCAGAGCTGAAGCTGCGACAGCGGGCAGTAAGTTTTAACTATGCCAGATGTCAGCTGAAACTGGAACAGTTGATGGCTATTTTGCAGCTCATTCTATTTGTGCATTTCTGAAAAGTGAGTGTAATGTAGTGTTTGCTTTGCTTCACAGGTAGGCAACTTGGCTAACGATGGAATCAAATTGGCGACTGGCGCCAAAGAGCGTCGATGCACGCTGGCACCGCACGATGGACTCGAGGAGGAGGCACGCGGTGGCACCTTGCGCGCCCTTTGGACCCACGGAGGACCCACGGCAGCCTTTGTGCACATCCTCATTGCGTTGTGTCTGCTGCTGCCACGACTACTACTCGAGGCGCGCATCATCGAGAATGGACTCTTGCCAAAAGGTAAATGTTAATTAAGTGAAGTTCGCCACGACAGTGCTGACAATATAAGGTTGGCGACTGTCAACAGTCCAAATAAGGCCGAGCAAAAGCCACTTGCCATGAAAAACAAAGACTGCGATAGTGGGGCATACTCGACTTCAGTATACCGTGCTCTTACGGCCATGTTGCAATTTCATTTATGTTAGCCTAAAATTAATTTAGTTTTTTAAACGGACTGGCTAGAGCGTAAAATCAAAAAGAGGACCCACATTTCTGGTATTGCTCATCCATGCCAATAGGGCTAGCTATAATTGTCCATTGACAGACATTATTGAAATGAATGTAATTGTTTATTTTTATTTTAAAAATCTATATTTATAATTAAATTTTTAGTAAGTTTACTTTTACTTTATGTAATAATGTCTATTCAGAAGTTTTTAACGATATTTTCATTTAAATTCGGTTCGACTCTGTAACTCCTTTGCCATTATCGGTTTTGCATTTACTAAGAGTCTAAATGTTAATTCATCGGCTTTTATTGGCTTTGCAAATTTTTTTCTTGGTAGGATCGAACTCTGCGCAATTTATGATTCATATAATACTTACCCATATCATTTAGCTCTTAAGCATTTTAAGCTGATTTTTATAATCGATTTTATCCATTCAGAAATTGATCATTTCCAAGTTGTAGTGACTACACTATGCTTGGTAATTTTTTTTTAAATTATAAGGTTTAGAACTATAGATATTTTTGTAGATTCTGACACGGACTGGGCGTAACAATTCTACAGATATTCCCATTTGATTCTCATTATAATTTTATAATTATGAAATTATTAAAATTATTTGTATTAACTGACGCATTTTCCCTGTGATTTATAGGAGCGTATGGCAAATTCATTCTTCTTCTTGTTGAATACATATCACATAATCAATAACTTACGCTGTCAGCTGGACCTCGGCATACAAATTGACGGCAACAGGAAGTTGCCACAGCTGTATTTTTATTTATTTTATTGCGTCCTGGCATTTCGGCTGCCTTTTCCTGTTGTGCCTTTATTTCCCATTGCATTCCATTTTGCACTTCCGCCACGAGATGGCAGACACTTTGCAGCTGCTACAATATTATTGTTAAGCATACGCAGTGTGGTACATTGTCAGTTCATGAATGCAACTCTAAGGAGCCACAGGCATGGAATCGTTCATAACTTAATTTGTTGCTACAAGCAAATGAGCATTTGCTTCCATTGTGCATTTTAATGAAATTATTTGAGAAATGGCAGTCGTCATAATTGGACGCCAGACAATTGTCGCATGTCTCGCTGCAGTGTTATTTCAACATTTATAAAAACGCTAGCGCATTAAGCTGTTTGGCTAAGAAGTTGTAGCACTAATATAGGCAAGCTTAACAAAGTGAACTTAAGGGAATATTACACAGAGTCAGAGACAGAGATAGCTGTGTGGAGAAAGAGGATGTGCATAAGAGCGCACCGGCTCAAGTCACATCAAAGCAACGGCCATCTCTCGGGAAATCTGCTCGAAAAACATATGCACGAGCCGCTGTTACCACAGGCAAACAAAAACAAGCCCAAACATGCCCAATATGGCCGCACACAGGCTAACAACCGCAGGAGTAAACACACATGACACACAGGCACACACACGTAAATAGGTTGACAGGCAACCGGGCAACACGCCCATTATGGGCAGCAATAAGCCATGTTATTAACAGCGCGCAGGCGGGCAACCAAGCAACCAGCGAACCGAACCAAAACTGTGCAAATGTTGGCTCAATGAGCAGCAGCAGATGCAGAAGCCGAGCCAGGATATTCAGGACTCCGGCAGGCCTTTGTTTGCACATCACTGTGCGCGCATGTGTGTGAGTGAGTGTAGTAATGTGCCTTACACACACATGTGTGTGCAGTTAAACTGATTCCCCCCTTTAGCACAGTAAACTAATGTCACGATAAATGGTAAAAACAAAGAATAACACATATATAGGAATAAACGGAAAAAACTATTTGGCAAATAGTTCTTTAGCGGTTTTAATTACCAAGGGGTAGTCGGCTTTGACAAAATTTGCAGTTTACTGACTGCTTTAAAGTCTGGTTTCTGTTGTATCTGAGTAAGATTTTGAATTTGAGTTGAGTTTAATTAAAGTTTAATAAGCCAACTAACAACTGCATAAAACAGTGTTGTTGATGATTGGAAATATTTTATTCCAGTCTTGAAGTTTTTGCTGTGATATAAGCATTACTCAGTCGATAGTTCATATATGATATATGGAAATATTTTATTTCAGTCTTTAAGTTTTTGCTGTGATATAAGCATTACTCAGACCATAATTCATATATGATATATAGCAATTCGAATGATATATGTATATATTTATTTTATTAATAATTTAAGAGGCGTAAGCTAATAGCTAAACAAGTTCTTAAATCAAAATTTTGTATATATATTTATTTAATATTATATTATATATCTGTCCTTTGAGTACTTTTACTAGATTAAAGACTAATATTGGAAGTCCAGGTAGCTATAATTACAAAGTTTAACTCACTGCCAGCAGCATTTGCAAACATGTCGAGGCTCTCCGAAAATCGAGTTGCAGAGCAGTCAAGCTGATGGCAAAGCGAGAGAAAGGTAATTGCTTGGCGGGCTAAAGACAAGCAAATCAGAATTAACTACATTTAAAGCGATTCCTCTTGCGAATCCCCGATTCAGCGTCGGCTCCACTTTGCAGTGACCGTCGCAATTGTAATCCCGGTGCTGCTGCTGCATGTCCAATGTGGCTGACTGACCGTATGGCGGGTTTATTGAACCGGCCAGCGAACGAGCGCAGGATGGTTGGGGAAAATAAATGGAAACAAAGCCGCCAGTGAAGCGGCACTGGCATCGCGTTGCGGGAGTAAATTAAAAATGTGGCCAGGCGGTCGCAAGGGCATCATAAAAGGCATTGACGAGCTGAGTTGAGTTTAAGTCCGGGCTACGGAGTGACCCATGATGAAAGCCGCAGCAGCAGCAGCAGCAGCAGCAGCAGCTCAGCTCAGCTCACTTCATGTGATATTTCAATTAATTTCGATTTCTTTTGTTTTTCTCATTCGCTGTCCTTGTTGCAGGCAGATATGGCTGTGGTCCTTGTTTTTCCAATTCATGCTGGGACATTGTTTTTCGCGCAACTTGTTGGCTGCGCTTCATCTCCGCTAGCCCAGTGAAAATTAGAAAATCATTGGCACAAATAAAATGTGCAACGTTCCAAAGCCAAAGTCTAAGTCTGGTCGTGACATCAACTAGTCTCTGTGGGGGGCTGTGGCTGTGACTATGGCTGTAGCTGGGTCCGGATGTTGGTCAAGTTAAGTGCAATGCCTTGTCGCAACGGCTGCGTTAGCCATTTTACCGCTTGGTCGCCTTTCGCTGCAATTTGTCAACATCGCTGACATTCTTAAAGATGCACTAAGCTGCTCTGGATTGCTCGTTGAAGTTGAGACCTGTCAGCCTCAGGCCGGGCTTTGTAAGTTGGACATTATAATTTCCTGTAAGGAATTAACAAAGTTAGACTTAACCACCTGATTGACAGGCTCTAACTAAAGTTGCAGCAATAAAAAGCTATCAGAAAGTATAAGAGACCTGCATTTCTATAAATCTCTCTTAACTTTTGCATTAGCATTAAACCGCACCAAAGTACGCGCTGGGCAATTAGGTGGCACAGCTCGAAATCATAAAATGAAAATACTTTTCAAAAGTTCCCGCAAGTCGCATAAAAAGTGGACCGAAAAGCTATCAAACGAGGAGCTCGTAGCTATGCGCTGGGCATGGAGCTGCTATCACAGCGTAAGATTCGCAGAAAATGCATTACTTTACTTAATTAAAAAATGATGACATTCTGAATGTGGCAGTCAGGTGATTCCGACCTCATAATACTCCTTACTTATTAAAAGCAGCTGAATCTCTTTTGGTAAATGAGTCAGAAAGCTCCACCTCGAAAACTGTGGATGGTAGGCCTTATCAGACTTTCCACTATTCCAAAAGGCTTATGTTTATAGAAGTTTTGGTAAATCTCTTGAGGAGCCATATGTAAAACTGCAGAGGCTATGCATATGATCATAATAAAAGAGGTAAATAAGTTTCATATATCATATGCAGCCATAAATGATAGTAATTGAATGTGAACATAAAGTATACGCACCGCTGTACGCAGAAAGCCAACTAACAATCAAGGCGAAAATTAAACGAGGCTTATGAATATTCTTCATATAATCATCCAATATGTAAACTGCTATATCGTTTAGAATTTTTCTAAACTGCAAAATGAATTCTTTTTTAATAAAAATGCCCCAAGTAAGACATAAATTGAAATATCATATTTTAATTAGAATTTTTTGATTAGGGCGAGCAGCAGCTACTTCTCTTTTTGTGTATTTAATTAAAAGCTATGTGCAGATCAGCTTCCTGCAACAGTTTTATAGATTAAATCACTTATACGCCGTGTTGCGCTCATAAATAATTAATGCAGACGTCACGACAACACAAATGAAAACTGCGATAGAACAGCGGATGCTAAATATGAGAGCCCTCTTGTGCGCCATATTGACCGCTTGAAAGGCTACTAAACAGGCGCACTCGAATTAAGCAAAAGGAAACTGTTGAAGCCAAGGCGGCAGGTCGGGTTGGACGTGCACCGGAAGTGGTCCGAGATGTTGTGGCCAGCACAGACCAAGGCATGAAACTTATCATTATTCATGCTAAAGACTTAACGAGCGCGAGCTAGCGCCGAGCAAGGTAATGGGAGGCAGCAGGCGGAGACAAGCATTCTGTGAGGCTTATCGGCATCGCAACTATTACCCACAGCAGGGAAGCTGGGCAGTGGGCGTTGCTTGTCTTGGATTTGCGCGTTTTCATTACTTTGCCTTGCTCGTCTCTTCGTTCATCCTGCGTACTCCTCTTGCTTCTGCTCTTCTTGGCGTTGGTGTTATTGTCATTGCCATAATCGAGGCGGGGCAGGACGTCGAGACGAGGACATTGCCGTTGGGTTAATCTGCAGATTTTCGGTGTTGTCGGTTTTACGAGCCACTTGCCGTTTGCCAACGACGACATATTATTATGGCAGCCATTGTGTAATCCCGTGCAGTCGCTCCCTTTTCTAACTATGGCCGCATCAGTCTAACGGTCACCCCATCACCCAGCCCATTGTCTTTAATATTTGTTCGGCAATTTTCGGTCTTTTATTTTCGAGCTGGTTCTGTTTGCTGTCAACTCGCCGGCCCGCCAAGGGGCTTTGCTGTCAGTTCTTTGTGCTCTTAAAGCAACTTGTCCAATAAATAATTTTATGAAAGTGTTAACTTGGCAAATTTTCGTGTCGCTACTCAAGTTATTAACTGGGCCACAGTATCCACCGCAACCCGCCCTCCCACTGAAACCATAAAATATACAAATTAGCTACGCATTACAATTCAGCTAAGCTGCGCCAGCTATTGGCCTAAGTAAACTTTATCCTGGATCTCCACTATGAAAGCTGAATGTTCATTTTATATTATTTATGAAATAATTTATAAATATATTAATTGACATTAGCTGATTACAAATCCTGGCTTGCAATCAATTCAACGAATTTAATCAGCTCAATTTAATTCATTCAAAACAATAATCAATAATGGGCTTAGCTGAAAATATTACACGAAAAAAAAAGTTTTATTTGTGAAAACAGAATTGATTTCAGTATATAATTAATAATAAAGTTAAAACTATGACACCAGATGCTTTCACGTGATTTATGTTCGCTGTAGATTATTTCCACTGGCGAAATGAATATGCAATTATTTTTTTATGGTCAGCATATTTCATTAATCTGGACTCATTTGGACTTGTGTTCGTTCAGCTTATGTTAATATTCATTAGCACACATTCCGCTAGCATCTAAAGAGACACAACCCCCAAATAAATTTTGTACGCTGCGCTAACGAGTGAAAAAAGAAGAGAAAGAAACACCAAGCTGGACCGTAATAAACATGAACATTGAGTTCCGCTAAAAGCAAAGGTTGAACTTGCTAAGGTAGCTGTTGAGAGTCGTTAACTGGAACATAAGCCCCGACATATGCTGTAAATGTGCACTTAATTAGCCCAACGGGGCTTTAATATTATCCAGTGCTAAGCATTCGCATTTGGGAGCACCCGAAATGTAGGCAACACTTTTTGTGGCAGTCGAAATGGCATCGTAAGGCTCATGGAATTGGCTGGGCGTAGCATTATATTTATGCAGAACAGGTCGTGCAGTAGTCGCCTAGCAGATATTCTATGAAATATTATTATTATAGACAGATATTGGCATCAAGTGATATAGAATACAGACGCTCAGTTCTATTATCGAAAACATTTATTTTGCTCATTTCATTTCATTTGCAAGATGTGTACGGGGTATGAAGGACAGTCTCTCATTAACGCCCCATTTAATTAACGATAGCTGAGTGGAAGTTGAAACAGCTTGTGGTGTTTGCTTGCTTGGTACAATGTGTTCAAATGCTCATTACCTGCGCTCATATTTATTTAAAGCACGCGCGTGTGTGTTTGATTGAATGTCGATTTGTTGATATGTGTGTGTCTGTGGCTGAGTGATTGTGCTTGGCTGCCTATGTGTCCCGCCCAGAGAGGTGCTTGGCAGTTAATCCCCTGAACAAGCTCTGCTCTGCTGTGGAGTAGTTCAAAGCGATTTGTGTTGTTGCCAGCAAATCAGGCAAAGCATGAAGTAGTTCATTCTAATTAAACGCATCCATCTCATCTGCTCCCTCTTTCTGGCTCTCCCCCTTTTCAATTGCAGAACAAGTTTGGGCAACCGAATTGGACTTTGTTGTTATCAATAGACGCAACTTGATGGCCATGTCGGTGGTGGGGCCGACACCGCCCTATCGAAAACAGCAGCAGCAGCAGCAGCGGCAGCCGAACGTAACTGCGAACAGTTTGGAGCACGATGAGGAGGACTACTACAACGATACGATGTTCACGGCAGTGCGAGGCGGCATAGGAGGCATCAATAATAATTTGCTCGAGCTGACACGTGATAAGGATGGACGTAATGGCAGAAAGGCGGCCAAGACGACGGCAACAACAACAAAGACATCAATACGAGGTGGCGGAGCTGCGGGCAAGACAAGATACTTTGAAGTACCCGATTTAATTAATCGAAATATTGATGAGGGCAATGAGCGACTGGGGGACAACGATGATGACGATGATCATGATGACGATGCTGACGGCGATGATGCTGATGTAGATGTTGATGCTGATGATACTGACGATAGTGATGGCGTTGATGTGGGCGGAGAAGGCGGCACGATTATCATGCCAGATTTCGGATCTAGCAATGAGAAGCATGCGGGAGCGGACAATTGGCAAAGGCTGGGCACACTGGATAAGGCACGCAGCAAGCCCACAACAGCAACAACTAGCACTAAGCCGACAACGACAACAACAGCAGCTACAACAACAACTGCAAAAACAACGACAACCACAACAACAACAACAACAACAACCACCACAACAAAAGCACCAACAACAACAGCCGCAACTGAAATTACAACAAGGCAACAGCAGCCGCCGCACCAACAACACCAGCAGAAGCACAGTCGCAAACACCACAAACAACACCACAAGCAGCGCCAACAACAACCACGTCGCCATCATGTGACTTCGCATGAGCAGGCGCTGCAGGAGAGCTACGTCAAAGAGGAGGAGGAGGAGACTACAACGCGGGACAGCAGCATTCATCGTGTGCGCACCGACGTGCTGCCAGATTTAATAATACCCTCGACGCCGATTTCCACCAATTCCAAGATTATAGCCATCAAGCCCAAGACGCAAAAGCGACGCATTGCTAAGCGAGCAGCGCCCAAGTCGGGCGTGGAAATCGAGCCGGAATATTTGCTGGGGGATGGTGCCATCAACTCCAGTGAGTTTATAGCCAAGTCAAGCGAACAGCAACAGCAGCAGCAGCAGCTAGATGACGAGTTGGATCTTGATCTGGATGATGCGGACTTCCAAGCGCTGCCAGCCGTTACGCCAGCAACAGTTGCTGCCGGCAACAGCAATAACAACAACAACAACAATGAGTTTGTCCGTCTCGACGGCTTTGCGGGCATGCTGCAGCTATTCTTTGGCATTGATAAGCCCATCGATGTGGCAATCTTTGCCCAGCCACCCAGTGCGGAGTTCGTCAACCTGCTCTGCGCACTGCTCGTCTGGTCTGTGCGTTATCCGGCCGTTTTCTGGAACACATCCAAATCGTTTGCCTGCGTCTTTAGCCTGCAGATGATTGTCGCCGCACTGGACGTCATACTTGGCTACGTAGGCGTCTCCAATCTCTATAAGCTTCAGATCTATGCGGAAGCTATGCCGGTGCACCAACCAGGACTTATACTGAATGCCACCGTGACCCTAGCACTCTATCTGCTAGCCACAGCGCTCGTGCTGGCCTCCTCGATGGTCATGTACTTGTATGGACATGGCCGGTTGGCCACACGCATGAGAGATCGTTCCATCATCACGCTGAAGACGAGCCAAACGTGGATCTACTTTGCTCATTGTGCGTCCTTGTGCTTTGTGCTGGCTCTGGCTGTGGTCAAAGCCCCACTGCTAAATGATCTCAGCGCCACCTACAAAAACAATTTGCATTGTCCAACCTTTTTGGCAGGTGAGTTAACACTTGTAGCTAATCATTTAATATAAAAAACATATTCGATTAGAACTACAACTGTAGAGTTCAACTTCACTTAAGCGATATAGATATCAGTACTAGGTATTACAATTGAACTAAATTTGTGTTGTCATATGAACAACATTTTGTTGAAACTTAAATCGAAACAATTCACAAAAAACTGCATTCAGACCAAGTCTATGATAAGAATTTTCATGAGAGTAGCACAGGTGTGCCTGAGTTCGTACTGCGAAAACAAGTCTCTATAGGCCAAGCTATTGTCGCCTTGAACTCTTGTCTGTTTGGCCATGTCATAAGCCAATTAGCGGTTGTTGTTTAACGGGATTTCGCATTAATTGGCAGCTTGCATAGAACAAAGAGCGCGTATCAAATGACCAGAAAGCTCAATCGGGGCCCGTCTCAATAAACACGTCTTTCGACTTAATCATCCTTTGCCTTCATTCTGAATATAACTCTCTTTCTCTCTCTCTCTCTCTCTCTCTATGTATTTATATCTTTTTGTGCAGCTTTGGTGGGAGTAACACATTTGCTGCTGTGGATTGTCGTCTGGCTCTGTTTGACTATTAAGAGACGTTGGCACTTTAAGCTGCCACCATTGGATCATACGTATGGCGGTCTGTTGAACAAGGCCAGCGCTCAGCCTCTGCTCATGTCCAGCGGTCAACGAACGGGCAGCAATTCGAGCAGCGGCGGCAACTCAACGAGCACCACGGTCAATGGCATGGACAGCTCCCTATCCAAGCCGGACATGATGAGCACGGCCACAAGCACGGAACTGGGCGTGGGCATGAGCATGGGCCTGGTGGCACAGGAGGATATCTATTGGCCAAAGCTGACGCCCAGCTCGCCGAAGCTGAAGGTCACCTTCAACGAAGTTACGAGTACGTCTGATGATGTCCTACTAATTGGTGACCAAGAACAAACTGATGGCAAGCGGTAAAAAATCGTTTTTAGTTACAAAAAACAACAAATTAAACAAAAATAGAACAAAAATGAAGGCAGCGCCCGTTGTCCGTTTTACTTACAAATCTGCAATCTGCATTTTACATACACGTACTTAGTATAGTTTCATTTAGTTCGTTCTCACGCACCACCAAGCCACCCACCACCCACCACCCATTGCACAGTAAAAACTAATAAAAGCAAATAAATAAAGCAAAATCATTTCTTATGTAATCTAATCTAGATTCTAATTGTGTTGTGTTTCGTTTTGTTTATTTTGCACGTTCCATTCCATTCATTCCGTTAATTTCCCAATTACTTATCCAACACACACACACACACACGCACACCCAAATTCAAACACTTCTTTAACAAATTTGCCAACGCCTTTTCAAATTTGTTTTCTGCATCTGACATCAAAATTGTTGCGTTTGTTTTCTCTTAATTTCCATTTCCAGTTGGGGGTTTTTGTTGTCCATTTTCAATAACGGAATTTCCCACTTTCAATCGTACAAGTGTATTATACAATAGTTTTATATAAAAACAAAAAATATGTCTGAACAAAAGAAAGAAAGGAAACTATTTTTGTTCCGCTTGTCGCCTGTTTTATTGAAAATTACTCACAGAATTTAATCAACAAAATTGTTTTTTTTTTCATTTGTTATTTAAAAATTTGATTTTTCTTTGTTTCACTTATTGTTGTTTGTTTGTAAATGTCAATTAACTAGACGTGAATTAGACGTGAATTACTAACTCTAGCTAATTGAATGTGTCTCGACTTTAAATTGAAATTAACATTTTATAAATTGAACCCGCACTTCGCGTTGTTGTTGATGTTGCTCTTGTTGACAGTTAAAACAATTCCAACTAATCAATGGAGCAACACAAGGTGGTCAACTCATGTGGGTACAGCGTCTGAGTAAATTCGCCTTCTAATTTAACTCCCCTCGCTCTTCCCTGCCTCTTTCTCGTCTCGTTCTCTCTTTCTTTCCCTCTAACTGCCTGCAGCCATACGAGCCGTGGAACCTCGCTATGTTTTGCCAGTTCTACGGGGGAAATTGACGACGGCGAGTACGCGACATTAAGGGCGGCCACCGCCGGCGCCGTTGTGGGCATCACCATGGGCAGCATAAAGAGCAGTATTGCAGTAAGCGTGGGCGGGGGCAGCAGCAGCATCATGAGCGGCCTGCTGCACCTATGCGAATACGACGAGCTGCCACCTCCGCCATCCGTCAACCAGCAGCAACGCCCACACGCCCATGACTACGCGAATCTGAGCGGGCTGGGCGGCATTAGTGATGACAATATCTCCGAGGAGGGCAAGTTGTTGGCTTGCGTGCGTGACGACAGCATTACGTATGCTTCCACACGCGATCTGGAGCCGCCGCAGCCAACATCAGTGTCAGCAGCAGCAGTCACTGCATCACCACCGCCGCCGCCACCATTGCCCGCAAAAGGTGCGCCCATGCCACAGCCGCCCAGCGTGCAGCAACCACGCCCACCCACTTACGGACGCGCCCCACAGGCCATGCCCGAGATCATGCAAATTTCACCCGAGCACAAGTCACAGCCACAACAGCAGCAACAACAGATGCACCAACAGCAACATCATCCTCTGCAGCAACATCCACATCCGCATCCACTACAGCAGCAGCATCATCTAGTCAACCCCCTGGCTCCGGTCACTGTCGCTGTGCACACCCACGAGGCTCAAGTAAGTGGATAACGGGACATGCGTAGCTAGACCCACAACTAAAGTCCCAAGGGCTGGGAGAATAAAAATGTTGCTGCTTAGCAAACTTTTGGGGTTATTGGATAGTGAAGTGGTATTCTATTATAACATATATATTTCTATATATAAATATTTATAACAGGACTTCTGAATACAATGGCCTTTAGAATATGCAACCTGGCAATAGAAATTAAATGAAATCAAAGGCAATTAAATAAAATATAAACTTGGTAATTTGAGCTATTCGCTTATGCAGCACTTAGAGATCAATATTTGGTTAACATATACTTGAAATTTGAATAGTATAATTATTAATATAATATTTATTAATAATTAATATAATAGAGTATAAGTTAGTTGGCCTTTTGCGGCAGCTCAGTATTAATATTTTGGTTAGATTGATGCGTAGCATAGGCCACATGCTCGTTCAGGGAGTAAGAAGCCAGTCGAGTGTAACTCGTGACACGCCTGCGGGTGCTTGTGTGGCAAGCCATGAGATTTATGCTTGCCGTTATGAGACAGCATAAATCAGTGACAGGACAGTGCAGAGACCACATGCCCAGCCTGATGAATAGTCTGGCCTGCCTGACTGCCTGCCTGCCTGTCCGGCTGTCTGCTTCTGCCAGACTGTGACAACATCCGATAGGGTAACAGGACACTCGCCTGATTTAATTTCATTTTCACTTGCAGGCGCCGAAGTGAAGCAGAGCAGCCAAATGACGTTTTTCCTATCTATATATCCCCCTTTTCAATCATTTCCAATCTCCACACTTTCTGTTTCGCTCACGCTTTCTCTTGCCTTTCCTTGCCGCCACCAGATCGCCTCCAGCTCCACATCCCGCTGCCTGCGGCGCGCCGACTCTGGCGTGCCAAATGAGGCGTTAACGCCTCGCAGCGACACCAACTCGATCAGCGAAAGTACCAATACAACCTCGCCGCCAGAGCGCGCTCCCTCCGAATCCTCCAGCGGCGTGCACTCGGGGGAGGAACGTGAACTGGAAGTTATCATACGGCCACGTGTCAGCTGCAAGGCACCGCCACGCCCACCACAGCCACCCATACAGGAGGAGCCGTATGGCCGCTGTACCAACATGCGCATGTCCAGCTTCAACGCCGACCCAGCCAGCGTTATTAATAGCGCCACATTACCTTTGCAGCGCAGCGCACCTGAGCAGAAGTTCGACTACACTGCCCATTGCAGCACGATGCCCCTGCCGGCCGGCTGTCACAGCCAACAGCTCACCAACGGCAGCAGCAGCGGCAGCAACAGCAACAGCAATGGCGGCTATGCCTCCACATCGGCCATGACCAGCTCTATGGGTCCACCCTCGCAGGTGTCCACCTTTAAGACGCCCAGTATGCACTATGCCAATGCAGCCGTCGCCCTCGGCTCCTCCGTTCCACACACAACGCTGCCCAATGGCGTGCGTTACTCGAATCCGCATTTCCTACGCAGACTGCCGCACGTTAGCAAAGCGGCCGAGTCGCCGTATGGACACCTTGGCTATGGGGCGGCACATCATGCCTTCAGTAAGCTGCCACACGAGACGCATCCGACCATACACGAGGATCGAGATTCGGCCAACTACTCCATGGCCTCGGACCAGGACTGCGGACTCTACGTAACGGCGCAGCTGCACTAAGCCGGGCAGCATCTAAAATAAAAATCAGCTATAGTAGCAGCTCTCTAGTATCGTATTAACACGCATAGAATCAAGCTTAAAGATGTACTTTAATCCTAAGTGTATAGATGCCTCAAATCTTAAATCTTCCACAAGCACTTCACAAGTTCATGTGGCATCATCACAGCTCAGTCATTGCCATTATTGAGCTCTGATCACGCTCTGATGATGGCTTTTGACTTACTAGCAGAAGTAAACCTTAAAAAGTCCCAAGTTATTCTATGATTTGCCTGAATAACAAACATCTACCGTGTAGCACAAAAACCACGCCCACTGTAACTGACGCCCCACGCATAAGGTTACAAAGGATATCTATTCATATACTACATATAAATATATATATACAACTCTATATTTATACACACTACTAGGTATGCTCGTATACAATGTGTAAGATAATAAATAATAATTGAGTTTATCATATCATCTATGATAATATATTTAAACTAGAACTTGGCGCGATGTCTAAGCAAATACACATGCATATATATGTGCATATATAAAGAACTATTATGAAGTAATCAATATAAATACCTTTAGAATTTTTTTCGACTACAAAATCTTTTCCCTAATCTGAAAAAAAAATGCATACGAATTTAAGCCGCAATTGCATGGTTTTATAAGTAACAAAAGAAGCCGTAGAGCTTGTCAGGTGGAAACTAGCTGGCGAAGTAGGAAATATATAATATTGATGTTTTCCCAAAGCTCGGATAGCTGAAATCGGATGTAGATCGCAATAGCTTTATTAGCTTGTGAATTTCTTTGATATCAATTGCAACCGATTCTATATAGAGATCGGCCAAGCTTTGCAATCGATTTTGATCCATATATTTGAACGATTATCGAAACCTGATTCAATAAACTGCAAAAATGTATAACACTCGATTTGTAGCTAACTTTCAATGAAAAATTCTTGAAGTCATAAACATCTCTGGATCAACATCGATTGTCAATCAAATAATTTATGCAATCGTCGCAATTTTGCAAAAAAAAAGTGACGGACGCAAGCATTAGTCAAGCTTCAGCTAGTCGACGTAGAGTTAATTAAAACAGCTTCAGCATATTTTGTACGGTCTCTCAAATATATATAACATATATTCGTATCACTTAAGATAACTGTAAAATGTAATGTAACAAAGCGACAATATGATGATATCTAATGTATTATAAAAGGAACTAACTAACTGTACGAAATTAGCTAATGCATCCAGCATCGGAAACACGCACACATACGCAACCATTAACTCACGGACTTCAAGCACTTCCCATACATATCTCCCACAAATAAGAATTCCAACTTTTCTAGGCTCTCTCTACATGGCTTCTAGATAAAAGGAATATGCACGTATTTGGATTAAAAACCCGAAGAAGAGACATATATAAGATTAACGATATACAACTTAAATGTAATCCTATTTGCACTCGCACCGTCGGCACGTTATTTGACAATTTGGCCATATTTATTTTTGTTATGAAGACTGATTAGCATTATAATACCCTATAATGAGAAGCCCTACAAGCACATGCATTCAGAAACACTTAAGATACCCCAGCTTGACGTTCCATATAATTCTATGCATTGTACTATTCTAGACTACATTCGTATATATAACTTATTTAAATATATGTTGACATAGGGGCAAACAGTCTTTAACATTGGTTCCTTTAAGAAACGCACTAAAGCTAAATATTAGCCGTACTTAAGCCACACTTTTGTAAAATAATTTATATTCAATTTTAGCATTAATAATATGATATATAACAAAATACGAAGTATGCCCCTTGATATCGCATTATGTATGTAATCACAATCGTATTTTTTGTAAGTCCAACTAACCAAGCGAGATGAAAACAATTGTAAATGATAGTAAGAATAATGCCGCCAATGAACCCGATATGACATGATAGATACACGCATATACATATATCTAAATATATTTATTACAACACATAAATAAGCAAATGAATACTTAAATGTTTGAATTATTTATACATACCATATATGATTAAAGGTTTATCAATGGTAAATAAAAAAATACCACCGCTTTATGTGAAACCCCAAGAAAAATGTGTTTTATGCTGCGGGCTGGGAAGTAAATAAAAAAAATATCCAAATAGTAAATGTTTATCCCACAGATAGATGGATCAGATGCATTCGATGCCTTTGCATTTTGTAAATGAACTCTTTCTTGATGCTTCTGTTATATTTAAGTATGATATACACTCATTTTCAATATAGATATAGCTAGATCTCCCAAATATAATATTGTGTATTGCCAGACAATGTTTTTATTTAACATCTTGCAATACTATTGAGAAACCTGGATAATCCTTTGGTTTTGATGACTACTCTCGCACAGATGCACTTGCATCTTGTATATATATTTCGCATCATTATCGAATCATTTATCTATATATATAATATGAAATTTGTATCTCAGAATTGTGTCTCAGTGACCCTTTTTTTCCACAATTCAGATACACTTATTGCAAGCAAAAAATTTATTTTTCACTGCTTTCAAATATACTTAATCGAAGCCAAGAGCTTATCTATGTTTCCGATTCATACAAGAGACGAGCACGAGGATCAAAGATCTTATCATAATTTCCAAATGGCTTTCTTTTGAGCTCTTCAGGTATCGGAGCACTCAGATAGACAAAATAGACAAATTTCCATTCCACACAAATATTATATTTTAATGGAGTCCTTTTATCTTGTCCCAGTGAAGCTGTTGAAACTATTTCAAATACCGTAAGCAAGTAAAAAAATGTTAGTTTTGTTTTATTAGAAAACAATTTTAATGAATATTTCTTTTGTTTTGTTGTTTAAATGTTGGTTTTCATTAAATTTGTAGTTTACACAATTTCAAGGTCTGTTTTCGTGTCACTATTTATGCCTTCTCTTCTGCAAATTTTATTTTTTCCGTTTATTTAATATAATATAATTACATAATTTCTCTTTTTGGATTTCTTCTGTTTTTGTTTTTATTTTTATATTCATTTTCACAGTTTATTGTCGTTTCTCGACCTTCGATATTTGTCGAGATATTAAAATACAATATATTCGAAGCGTATTTCACGCAGCCATTTGCTTTAATTATTATTTTGTTTTAGTTTGGTTTGCTTGTCAACATTTTGCAATAAATGATATATCTCTCTGTTGTTGTTGCTGTTGTGTATTTAATTTGTTTTATCAGTTGAACTTAGTAAATAGAACTTTTTGGTTTCACTTTTGTTTGGTTTTGTTCTTTAAATAACTTGACGTAATATATCTTGCGTTTTATTAACAATTCTATGTGTGTATATATATATAGATATATATATATATATATATATGTGTGTGTGGTTTTGTGTGTGTTTGTGTATGTAGGTGTGAGTGGACTCGTGTGTATTGTAGTTCCATTTAGTGACTTCTCTACATAACAAATTCATAGTTGGGATTATAAATAGATGTTCAAATATGAGTAATGTTTAATGCAGCATAAATGCTCTTGCCAAAGATTTGTTAATAGGAACTTAACGAATATTAACAAACTGGTTCGAATCTATTGCTTACAAAAGTCTTTTAAATATAACTATGCAGAATATGAACTTTTTACCGTTGTCTATGTAAAGCTGCTTAACGGACATTGGGATAAGTTGCTGTAATTTTTTATAACACTATATATTGAAAAGATAAATATTTAGCATTAATTACATTTTCTACTCCACATTGTGCTTGGTAAGGGCATTTGAAAGTCGTTACCTGCCGACATTATTAATTATCGTTTGTTGTTCTTGCTGTTGTTGATTGATTATTAAAAGCATTCAAGTTTCTTTCATAGGAGGAGAGCAAATAAATAAAATGTGGAGCTTAGTCTAGGAAGCTTTTTCTTGGCATGAGAATGTTTAGAGCAGAGTGTAAGATTCTATTAGCTAGTAGAATGTGTATGTGTGTCCTTGTATGCATAGGTATCTGTATCTGTATCTGTAACTGTATATGTGCATCTCTATGTATGTGTATATGTATCTACGTATCGCTAAATCGGTATGCTGTATCGTATAATTACTTGCTGGAAACCTCGCTGATAGTATTGAAGTTCTTTAAAGCGCGTTTTGTATTTGGTTCTACATGATGTTGTGATTCTTCGTTTTGCAGCAACATTTTGAATGCATTTCCCTGTTCGTTTCTGCTGGCATTATTACATATTTATTTTATATTGTTTTTATATAGCGGTAGATATAGAAAGTTTCAATGGTCATGCAACGGTATCCGCAACTGTAGTTGAATCTGTGTGCAAAAAGCTGATGAATGGACGGACAGGTTGAAATTAATATCGTTAGCCAACTGAGCTCTGAGGAAAATTGGATGTATTTAAATATATATCTACGATCTGTTGCTAGGAACAATACAATAGCTATACGGCGTATTCATATAAATTTAACAATACAATCATTATGTATATATAAAAATCTACTGCTCCCATCCTAGTTCCCTCGCAGGCCACTGATATGTTTACTCAAAATGAACCACTTGAGGACTTCAAATGCATTGCAAAATGTTGCGCAAAGAACGCAATCAAACGCCAAATTAAAGTATAAATATGTATATACATATATATATATAAACATATATATATATGTATATATATATGTATATATATATATATATATATTTATATGACTGTATGTATATATTTAATTTGTAACGTTTTCAAATGATACTCTCTCTACAGGCTAAACATGTGTTGCATGTGTTTTGTATGTTATGTTCTTCTTCTGTTCATTAGCAAGCAGGTAACATTTTTACAGCTCACACTATTCATGTTATTATGTTGAAGGTACAATGCGTTATTCTCTTAGTTCGAGCTAGCTGAAGTATTTAGACAAAGGATATGCGAGATATATGCAAATAGAAGCGAGATCACTGTCATGTCCTCTAATGGCTGATGCGAATGCGTTATATGTCATCTTTAATCTTTAATCTGTTATGTGTCATCTGTTGTCTGTTAGCAGCTCTGAGCTGGCGGCAAAAATTTTATCATTTTGAGGTCGCTGCTAACTTTTTGCAGCTGTGCAAAAATATCAATAAAATAAGCAGAAGCCAAAATAATTATTAATTATTAACAAATTTACCTCTCTATGGGTTTTATAAATATATGAATATATATATATATATGTATATATATATATATATATATATGTGTGTGTGTGTGTGGCCGTGTGTATGGAGTGTTATCTATGTACAGCTTAAGAGCAAAATTTGTTGTGTAAGTGTGTATGTGTGTGTGTAAGTGAGTGTGTGTTATTGTGTTTTAATTTTCTAAATTAAATTTGTTCAATCGTCACGCTTAATAAATACTTGGTTTGGATTAATACATATCTCATATATCATATATCTCTTTTTAGTTACATTCTGATTAACTTTAAGTTTAAGTTTAAGTTTAATTTATCGTAAGTTAGGCTTATTTAAGTGTTAGTGGTTCTTTGCTTGCTTAAACTTTAAATATATATATGTATATATATGTGTATACATATATTGTATATAGTATATACTCGTAAACATTTTCTTGAAAATCTATAATTTTAATTTATTGATTTAGATTTATCTATTAAACAACTTGCATCTGTACCTAAACCTCCTCCTCCTGCTTCTCTTCCTCCTCCTCATCATAATATTTTTGAATTATTTCTCTTTTTTATTTGTTCTATCTCACTGTCTTAGCTTAAGGTGTATGACCGACATTAGCACTTTTCTTGGTTGAGTGTAACTTTGCTTTTTATTGTATATCTATTTATTAATAATAATTATTAATAATAATAATCGTATTACGAAAATTATAGCGATCTTAGGTGTGTAATAAAAATGTCTTCAAATATGCATTCATTCATTTACAAATTCACTTTCATTGTCTGCTTTATGTTTGCCTCTCTTTTGTGTTATTTATATATATAATATATATATTATATTCTTTTGAAGCTTGTATCTCGAATTTGATAGTTTAGTTTAATCATTTACTGCACTGCTGTGTTATCGAGTATGGGTTTAAATGCATTTGTTTTCATGAGTTACAAAATTACCTAGATCCTTACACTCTTCTTAAGGAAATCTTCCGGTCAAGAATAAAAATAAAAATAAAAATAAAAATTGAAAATTACATACAAATTGGACATAGATTAGGCCAGCAGCATGCCGAATGGGAATAGCGGGCGATAGCTCCAACAGCTCCTGATGCTCATCCGGGGGGTTCCACTTCCAACAAAGCGCAGCAGGTCCTGCAGGCTGACCTTGGTCCTTTGCTATTTGGCTGCCTGGCTGGCAGCTCTTTGCAAGGGTTACTGCAAGGATTACCAAAGAAATTAGCTTGCAACATCTAGGCAAATGTTTTTGTGCATAATGCAATGTTAATTGTTGATTAGCGGGCAAATTAATTGTTAGTTGCTTGTGAGCTGTTCGTATTGTATTATTGTTCATTGGAAGTTAGATATAAAAGTGGCAAATGGCAAAATGGCTGTACTAGCGCGTTATACAGAAAGCTGCTAAAATTAAAAAGATTTTATATTTGTATGCAATAAGTCGAGAAGAAAATTGTTAGCAATAGGTTTTAGTTAGATCGTGGGTGCACTTACAATTCAGTTCAGTTTGCAAGTTTGGAAATTTGTTTGTGCTTGGTGCTTTAAAGTGTTTTCACTGTAGCTGGAAAGTGTTATTCACCCTGCTCCTCCATTATTGATTCACCGGCCCAAACAATCGGACGACCCTGATGTGGGTACACATTCCAAAATTGTATTGTAATTGAAATTTATTATCTTCAACCATCATTGGCGCTAACCCTAGCTGATGTGATTATAATATGTGTTTCTATCAATCTATGTAGACTATGTAGCTAGCCGAAATTTGCCATTTATCTTATATTTTTTTTTTTGCTTATGCGTTCATGTTTTAAGTTGAGTTTGGGATTAGGACAAAGCAAGATTACAAATTTGTGGAATCGAGTAGTTTTTGTTAGCTAGTATAATTAAAGAGGTCAAATAGGAATCGCATACGATAGAAATGATAAGGATATGATGACGATAAAACGGTAAATGGTACGTTAACTACACATGCAGTAGACAATTACATGGAATTGTTAAATTGTTCGTGGTTTTGGTAGTTTTGTTTCAGGTGGTTGGGGATAGAGAAACATACCTATATGAGTATAGTTCGAGTCTATAAATAACTACGTTGAAGTTGTATGCTATGCCAAAAGAACGTAACGGTAACGGTAACGGTAACGGTAACGGTAACGGTAACGGTGATATATATATTGATATTAGGTGACTTTCGATACGTGTTTTGACTTTCTTTTTGGCATTAAGTGTTTGAGATTCGTTTTCGGTTTTTACAAATGCATTTCAATTATGATCTCTTGCTGGCACTGATCAATACATATAGATAAATTTATAATGGATTTAGCGGTGTAATCGATTCAAATACAGGTGTGTGCGCTTGTGTGCTGTTTGGTATTTTAGCTAACTAAAAACAAATGCAAAATATGTATGCAATCAATTTGTTGTTTGTTTTCGACTATTAGCTAATTTTTTTAAATATATCTTATTTGTTGCTTGTGTTTGTACAGATGTTTTGTGACTCGCTAAGCTACAAAGTTAAATTATTTTTTTTTTGGTTTTGCATTTTAAGTTTTTTCGTATGTCAATACTGAATACTGGAAAAGTGTAGCTACATATGCGTATGTATATGTATTTATATATGCATGTATTTATTTTTGCTCGTGCTCTGAGTATATTATCAGATTGCAAGTCGATCTTAGGGTAAACTTTTGTACGCTTTTATATATTATATTTGAGCTGAGTTGAGTTGAGTTGAGTTAAATTTGAGTTGAGTTGAGTTGAGTTTTAGTTCAGAGTTTGAGTGAGTCGAGTGAGGCTATTGATGAGCGCCTAGAGCCTAAACCTATATTAGTGGGACAACTGACCAGTGAGGTGGTGCCAAAGAGCTTGTACCAGCCGATAACGATATTCGAGAGATTCAGATCGTCAAGCATAATCTGTGCCACACCCATAAAAACTTTCTTTTCGATGCGGCCATAATCGCCCCAAACGGTCACCTAGACAGATAAATGAACAGTATCAATTGGTATCAATATATTTATAAATGCATCTATATTTATCGGGTCGGCTTAGTCACCTGCAATACGCAACCGCTATACGACTGCTTGAATACCAATTGCTGCTGGTAAAGAGGATCCAGCGTACGACGAGCCGTTGAGGTTTTCATCTTGTCGATGCAACGCTTGCCCGACACCAGATAAACCTTCACGTAGGGCGCGGGCAACATCTTAGACGAGGGCTTTTGCTGCAAGGCATATGTCATTATTTTAGATACTTTCCTGCATCAATTGATTTCTGCTTTTACTTACCTGCAAGCCCCTGGCACGTATAACTTCGACCTCGAGAAAGCCCTTCTGATGGCACAGCGACAACTGTATGTCACCCAGTGAAGGGGCACCTAGCACCTGACGACCAACCAGTTGCCCGGGTCCCAGGCCATCCACAAACTCATTAAGGGCTCCATCATTGCGTAATGATGGTGAAAATCTATACGAGTTTTCAGTATTTTTTTTTTTTTGTGTTGAAAGAGTTTTAAACTTTAGAAAGGTATTCGGTTCAAGGTTTCATCACATAGATCTCATTGAAAAGGAATTAAAACAAAGAAGTACAAGATTTTGAGAAAAAGAACTGTTTCAGCCTGGTTCCACCGATATATTATTAATGGAAAAGTTGCTAAACTTTATGATCCGATTCTGATTAGGAATCAGATCGTCTGTGGAACCAGGCTTTTATACACAGGGAGTTGTAGAAAGACAGTTAAATTGTTGTAAGTAGTTTGGTGGCTTTGTGTACGTTGGTTTACGACTGGTTTTGTGGATGGGTATGGTTGGTGTGGTTGTGGTTGTGGTTTTTGGTAGTAGTGGTTCATGTACTGACAGAGTGGTGCACACAAGAGAGTTCATTAGCATGCAAGCTTTCGTTTTCAACTCGATTTCTGCTGTTGAAATCAATTAAAAGCCAATAGAAATCGAAATCGGTTTAGTTAAAAATAGAATTACTGAAGCACATAAATATATATATATATATATATGTATATATATTTGTATACAGATATATATATTTATACATACTATACAGAAAATAGTTCCTGTTGTCTTTATGAGTTAAGTAAATGGTACAACAATAGTGCCACAATGAAGTCTAGGTGCCTAGTACTTTGGAAATAGGTATTAGAATTTAGCTTATGGCCCGTAACTTTTGTTTTTATACACAGACATCAAATAGTAATAAATATATACATATTTAAGAAAACAATAGAAAATAAGAAACAATAAATCAAATATATTTTGCACATTAATATGAGACGGAAATTACACAAAGAAGTGAAGCGGAAAATTGAACAGAACGCAAGTATTTTAATGGATATACAAAAATGCAGACTGGCTCAACGATATATCAAGGCGCACATACGTAGATAACAAGAAAGAGATGCCGGCAAAGATTGGACACAAATAATTAAGTAACATGATCAGAGAAAAATGTGTTATAGTCAGGTGGTATGCGATATGAGACAGAGAGAGAGAGAGAGAGAGAGAGAGTAAGATACAGAGAAAGAGAGAGAGAGAGCGTGTTGGATAGAGCGACACATATAGCCATTTACAAAGGCAATGGAAATTAATTGTGTGTGAGGCAGACAGAGAGAAAGATTCGTAGGCAAAGAGAGCAGAAATGTCGAAAGGAGTTCAAATGTCAGAGTATTTTTTTTTTGGTATTTTAAGTATTTTATTTTGGTATATTTTGTTGGCTGTTTTGTATTTGCCAGAAAAACTTACGATGAGCCCTCGGAGCTAGAGATCGAATGTATGCTGCCCGCACTGTAACGGGTGACCGCTGGCACCGGCGGCACCTCCACAGATCGCTGGATGCTGCCCGCCGAGCCACGCGACTGCCTTTGATAATATGGATGTGGTGGTGGTAGTGTGATATGATGGTGACTAGTGGAGGAGCCGCTCGCGCTCGAGCTGCCCAAATACTGAGCCTGATATTGGTCTGTCGAGAATATGATATACAAACATACATATATGTATATATATATATATGTATATATATGTATATATGTATATATATATATATATATGTATATATATATATATATACATATATATACATATATATAAATATATATATGTTTATATATATATAAATAAAGAGAATGAGAGTACAATACGAGTTATATAGTACAATATGGTTACATGTATGAATGTTATATGTACTCAAAAGCACAAAAGTTCGCACAGAACAATATTTAGCTTTTTTGTTTCTGAATGGGAGGACTTGTGTTTGCGACGCTGGCTTCTACTCGGTGCTCGATACACGATACTCGACGCTGGGCTCTTGGAATATACACTCATATGTATATATATATATACATGTATGTAGATATATATATATATATATATATATATGTACATGTATGTAGAAATATATATATATATATATGGATATACCTGTATTATATGCATGTATATATATCCTGACTATAGAGAAATTATAGCACAGAGAGTAAACCGAAACTGGAAACAAATCGAAATTATTAGCAAAAATAAGAATAAATTAAATAGTAGCTCATATATATATATATATATTTTTTTTTATAATAATGCCGAATTTATAAGGAATCAATGTTCATTGTGAATACATTTATTCCATTTAAAATACTATTTGTTTGCTGAGTTTATATGTGTGACGAATGAATTGCGACCTCTTATTGTTTTTCTATGTTTAACTGATTCATTTCTGTTGTGTATATTACATATACATATATATAATATATATATATACATATTTCAGATGTATATTTTCAGTCGATGCCAATTTCCATTGATGATATTGTTGTGTACTGTGAATAGTTTATTGTTTGTTGCTTAGTGTTCGTTTATTTATATTTTTTTGGCTTTCTTTGACAGAGCTCCCTGTATATACATACGTTGGTAAATATCAAATTGATTTGCAAAAAAACAGAAAACTTGTAGAAAACAGATGATAAACATTAGTTCAATTGTTGATTATGTTTTTTGGTTTTTTGTTCTTTTTTACTAGCGAAGCTTGAGTTGTTGTTTCCATGCAAAATTCGATATCGAAACTTTAACCGGTCGACTAGTGTGGCAAAATGTTTTCGAAATGTCTGAGTGTTGCAAAACATCTTCTTTGCTTGCACTTTAGTCGGGGTTTTACCATGGACAAGTCTTACCACTTAACTGCAAATAATGATTTCGATACTCTTGGAGTGTATTAAGATAGTTACTTTAGCTAGTTTAAAGAGGCTGTAATAGATTGGTAGGTAGGTAGGAAGCTAGAGTAGTATATGTCTGGGACAAGTATATTGTAAGTTGTTGTTGTTATAAATAGTAGGTAACTCAATGCATGCATATGTATATGTTATGTAAATCGAACAAAGTTTTAAAAAAATGTTGTGTATGTTTGCTTGTTGTTTACTTTGGATAGAAATCAATACATGTTGTAATAAATGGCATTAACAATATATAAGGTTAAAACGAACGATTGGCTGTTAAGGTTAGTAGTTGTTGTAAAGAAAAGTGGCTGCGAAAGTAAAATGCATTACAGAACGAGCTGGGAGCCTCCTTTAGTCGCTGCACTGCAGCCACAGTGACCGTCAACAGTCAACACACAGTCGAAAGCTTTGCGTAGGTGGGCATTTGCTCTTTCCTTTTGGCTTTCTGTTCTTTTGGCACGCTTTTGCAACTGCGACCAGGCAAAGCTTTCGGCTGGTGCGACGCCTTTTAGCAATTTCTTTGGTTTAAGCCTAAAAATACGTATCGACTTTGGATTGTTTGTTGATTGGTTGGTTTGGGTGATTTGTTGTTGTTCTTTTTTTTTTTTTGGTTGGTTGGTTTATTGCGCTTGGAGGTGAACTAAAAATCAAATAACTCAAGAGGGCTTTCGGTTTGCATTGCTTTCAATTGAAGCGGCGCGCGCGAGAGAGAGACAGAGAGAGAGAGCTTGCAGCAAGCTTTTAGGTAAAAATATTCAGCGAGAAGGAGAGAGATAAAAAGAGAGAAAGTGAGATAGAGAGTAAGAGAGTCAAAGAGAGCGAGCGCAACATTGTTTAGTGAAAAGCTCTTACAACTAGAAGTAGTACATGGCAGCCTGTTTATCAGAAACTTAATGTGTTTCGCTTTTAATTTATTATATTTATTTTATTTTTATTTTTATTTTTTTTTTTGGGTTAACTTGGCTAACTAATGTTTATCATCGTCGTCATCAGCATTATGAGCTTTAAGCATTGTTGTTTGCTTCGTTTTCCGTTAAAGGCAATTAAAAAGCAAATCGAATCAGAAATCAAAAGTAAAACTATAAACTCAAAGCATAGCATAAAATAGAGAAATTAGCTAGATAGAAAGATAGTTTCACAGATAGTGAGAGACAGAAAGAGACAGAATAAGTTGGACTTGTGTGCGCACCTTTCCCCACCAGCGCCATCGCCGAAAAACTGTTCAATGGGGTCCGCCTCCGAGGATGAACCACGGGATAGACCACCGCCACCGGCCCCGCCAGCAACACCGCTGGCACAACCGGCACCTCCGCCTGAGCGCAACTCGCGCGTTATATCACCAGGCAGCACCTCTTCACTGCGATGCACCGTGAACGAGTTCTTACCCTTCTTTCCAAAGCCCATACGTCTTTTACGACCTTTGAGTATGGCATTATTTTAGTATTTTTGTATGTTTATGTAACGTTTTGTTAGTAAAATGTTAACAATAATGCAAAATGTGATCGATGAATTAGTTAGAGAAAACAACACGTTTTAACAATGAAATACACAAGTGTGAGAAACCAAAGAGGCGGCTCGTATAGCGCATGATTCTATTACTCGAATGGAGCCTACAAATGATGCTTGGTAATCTGATGCTCGGATTACCAGATCATTGTCAACAAGGCAACTGAACAAGAACTGTAAGCAAAGGCAACAAGTCTCTTACCTGTTGCCGAGAGCTGCGACGTCGAGTTGGATTTTTTACCCATCCCGCTGCCGCCTTTGGGCGATCGTTCCTGATCCACGTTGCCGCATTTCTTGCGATCCGTTGTGGTGTCTGACAGGCTGCCATCTGTGGAAGGTACCAAATAAACAGGCAAGGCAAAGATACATGAAACATTAGCTATATACACAGATGAAATAGGTATTTCTGAAATATTTGACTTTCCAGCTACAAATATCAATCAATACAAAATCACATCAGATCGTTTATTTTAATCAAGAGATCAACTATATATATATATGATGATTTTATGTAATACTATATATGGGTCTTTTGTATCTAATTTATAGACACATGGCTTGAGTACTGTACTTGAGGCTGTCTACGTACCGGCTTTCTCTTCAGTTCCGCCACCACCATCGGCTGATTTGGCACCACTCGCATCGTTGGCGCCGTTCTTCTCCTTGTCGTACTCACTGAAATCGTCGTCGAGCATTGCATCGATTGCATCCCAATCGATAACATCGATGGCAGCATCCGCGTCCGCATCCGCATCCGCATTAGCATTCGTATTAGCATTTGTTGTTGTTGTTGTTGTTGCGTTTGGTTCATTCGTGTTATTTGTATTTGTTGTTGTGGTTGTTGTTGTTGTATTTGTGGCAGTTGTTGTAGCAGTCGTTGCGGTTGTTATCGTTGTCGTCGTCGTTGTTGTTGTTGTTGTTGTTGCCGCATCATTCGACGATGTGTTTGTTGTTGCATTTGTGATGAGATTTGTGCATGTATTTGGTGGTGGTGGTTGTTGTTGTTGTTGTGTGAAATTAGTTGATGTTGCGTCATGGGTCAAGTTGTTGGCGTCGTTTGTTGTTGTGGTATTGTGTGTTGATGATGGGGCACGTTTATTGGGTGATGCGTTTGTTGTTGTTATTGGTTGATTAGCGACACCATGATGTTGTTGTTGTTGTTGTGGGGGATTTGCAAAAGAGGAAGAAGAAGCATTATTAGCATTATTACCATCGCAGACGATATTACCAGTAGCGGCAGCGGCAGCTGCGGCAGATGTTGCACCACCGCTCCCACCACTAGATTTCGTCAGTTGTTCCGATGCCGATGCCAACATTCCGTTTATGGCGATGATGCCTTCTTTCCCTTTTTGCCTAACTGATTGTGGTTGTTGTTTCTGTTGGTTGTTGTTGTGAAATTGACTAACACTACTAACACTACTCGCTGCTTGGTTATTGTGATTGGTGTAGTGGCTACTGTTGTGATTGTTACTGTTGTATGTACCACTGTTCTGTGCACCGCCCCCACCGACACCACTGACTGCCTCCATGGGCGAAAAGTTATGCGCATTTTGCGCACTAGGTGGATGTGGAAGATTGCGACGCCGCTTCAAGTAGGGCGCTGCGGGTCCATAGAGCTTCTGCTGGCTGGTGCGCTGCAGATCGAGGGACATGTGATTGCGTGCATCGATCCCGCGACGATGTGGCGCCCGGAAGAGGGAGGGTGCTACGCCGCGTCGGGTCCAGCCCACATCCGAGTCGTAGGTGATGGTCACGATCTTGTCGTCGGTGACCAAGAAGTGCGAATGACTCAGCGGATTGGCCGCATCTACATTGGCGCCCATATACGATTGACGTATATTCGTCTCGGAGCCGTATCGGCGACTGCTGGGTAACTGTTCTTCAGTTGGATGATAGGTGTGGGCTCTCAGTTCATGTGGTGCCACTTCATCCTCGTAACGTATGCGCCGCCTACCCCAGCTCTTTGTGTGCAAGTCATCGTAGTCCAGGGAGCGCGACTGACCCTCGTGGAACATGCGACGTCTGTCCAGCTTGGGTTTCTTTAGAATCGATGTGGGTTGAGCCCGTGCCGTGGCTTCTGCTATGGGCACCGCTGAAACGAGCGCATCCTCGCTTAACTGTCGCGAGAGCCGCAGCACGGATTGGGTGGGCAGTGGTGGGGGCGCAGCGAGCTGTGAGTTCGCTCGCCGATGAGCTGTTGGCGTTGGCGTGTGCACATGGTAGGTGGGCACCACGCCCAGATTGAGCTGCGGCCCAATTAGGCCACCCAAGAAATGCTGATCAACACATTCACCGCACATGGGATCCGGATCCATGGTGGACAGTGAGGGCTCCGAGCTGCTTGCCGGCTGATACATGGAGAGGGAGGGGCGACGCAGCAGCTGCTCCGCACTATAGGGATACGCGATGGGCTTATGCTGTGGATGGGGATGCGCATCGGCCAGGCAACAGGGATCGGTGCACGCCCCTATAGCCAAACCGGGCGTGGCCAGTGCTGTGTTTGTGGATAGCACCACCGGTTGGCTACCATTCTGGCAGTGACTGCAGCTCTTGTCCAGATGATCACGTACGTAGCCCACATACGAGCTGGGCGAGGAGGAGACCGTGTGGGCGTGGTCATGGGCATGGGACGCTGGTGGTGCTGTTGAGGAGCTGCGAAAGAGATTCATGACGGGCGAGGTATAGCGCTTGAATTGCTCAAAGCTGGGCAGCGCATAGGTGAGATTCGCATGAGTGGTTGCGTTGGCGGTGGCTATGGTGGGGGCGTGGTCGAGCTGGCGTCCGTTGTGGCGTCGTTGGTACATGTCAAGCGGCGGCTGTATGAATGTGTTGGGTAAATGAGGCGAATAGTAAACGTTATGCGTATGCAAATGGGGATCGTGTGGTTCGATGTTGAGCGCCGTCTCCTCCGCAATTAGGCCTGGCTCCACGAAAAACTGTTCGATCAGCTCGCCGCTATTTGTGTCCGTCACGAGTACCTGCTGTGCTGTGCTCATTGGCAGTGTTACTGTTGTGGTTGGAGGTGGGGCAGCTGATGCTGCACCGCTGAACCCTCCCAACACGGCGGTATTGGGCGGCGAATCTGCAGCTGCCAGGGCTGCCAGCTGTTGCAACTGCTCGAGCTGTTCCAGCAGCAAAAGCTGATGTGTTCCCCCACCATTAGATAGATAGTCACAGTCATCCACCTCAATGGTGTTCGCGCGGTGGTGGTCAACGGGATAGACCTTAAGGCCAGTCACAGGGCCCCCAACGGCACCGCCCAGTATGCTATTGTGGGCGCCAAAAAGATTGCGCCAGTTACGTGGAAAGCTAATTTTTTTTGTTTGGGTATCGGTGGCCATGGGCGGGTGGATGTTTGTGGTTTAATGTGGGTGTTGAGCAGTTTTTAATTTTATGTGTTTTCGTGTTTGCATGTAAGTTAACAGCATGCGTTATTAACATTAACGTTAACGCCCAGCGTATGGTGGGGAAATTTTGGAGGTGAATTTGATTTTTGTTGAGTTTGTGAACAATTACGAACGATCGTTGAAAAATGCAAGCGCAATGGTTGGCGTCCGAGGTCAGCGAGTGTTGATTTGTGGTGATTTGTTTGCGTGGTGAGTTGTCATTGTGTGTTTGTATGTGTGTGTGTGTGTGCGTTTGGAGTGATAGAGCGTGGTGAAGAGCACGCAAAAGAAGCAATGAACACAAAAGAGAGAGAGCAGCGCGCGTCGAGCGTTGAGCGATTTTTTGTTTTATTCGTTTTTATTTGTTTTCGTTTACGTTTTTGTTGGTTTGGATTCGTAAAAAGAACACAAAAAGTAAATGCAGAAAGAAAACTTTATGTTTTTTTCGGATTGCCTTGCTTTTGTTAACTGATATGTCAGTGTTTCTTTGTGTGTGTAGTTGGTGTTATGCGTTAAGCGCGTTTCTGATTCGGGTCGCAATTGATTCAGATAGTAATTAACTGGGAAATTTTGGATTTTGTAGCTTCTACTCGAAAAAGTTTGTACCAATACTTGTGTGTAGCCCACAATCGTAATTTCAGCATAATTTTGGCAGCTTTGCTGTGGCATGGCTTGGCGACATTAACGAAGCGGACGCGAGTGCAGCGAGCTAGTCGCCTGTCTGGTTCTAGCTCTGCGTCGAGTCCAATAGCTCGGCCAATAACTCACCTGAGGCCGCGCGAGGTCCGCGGTCGCTCCGACTGCGTGGAGAATGCACTCGACGTCACACTGACCACCGACTCCATGTCGGAGTCACCAAACTCGCCCATAAAGTCTTTGTCCGGCGAGAGCGAATGCCTCGGCCGCATCCGCGTGTCCATCGACTGCAGATCACTATCCGAAAGTCCTGTGTAATGTCGCTCCCAACCACCCATGCCGGTGCTACGATATGTTGCCTGATGGTGCGGCTGCCGTGTGCGATGCCGACCAAAACGGCTGCCCGATGCCAAGCGCTCGTCAAAGTCCTGTCCTAATCGATCGCGCAACATAGCGCTGCGAGAGGTTTGTGGCACCTTAGAGAAAAGTAATACGTTATAGCCTCAACAATATATATTAAATAGGCAAGATCTAATACTTAAGCGACTCCTTAAGCTCAAAATAAAAGTCGGGAGTGCCCGAAGATACCCTGCGCAAAGCTGATATTTCAATGCTCTTTTCTACATACATTACAAACAATTCGTGCACATACATACATAAATTCACATACACATGCAATGCGAAATAAATTGCTGAATAACTAGCTATTTCTAAATCTTAACCAAATCATCAATATGTCTGTATTTCTCTAAGCACAAGTCTCTAGTGCCTGAAAAAAGATTCCTCATACTGCAATATGCACTGATATGCTTAAACCTACTCAGTTCGTCGGTCAAAAAACATTTTCCCAAAACCATTATACTCTGAACTCTCATTTTCAATCGGGTGAAGGTATATACATATAAGAGACATAAAATGCAATTCATTCCAATTTGCTACACACTTTTAGGCGGCCCATACTATATAATTTATAAATTCCCAATTCCATGTAATAAATAATAGCACTATTGGTATATCAGGTGTTCTCCCTAGCGTTCCTAGTAGACGTCTATTTAAGATGAGGGTACCACTGACTATATATTGCATATGTTATCCATACTAGCACAAAACTAATATACTTTTTTCGCTTAGTGAACGAGTATATTGTTAGATGAAAATTCCGTCATAAAAAGGTTTTAAAATATAACTAAGAGTTTTAATATAGGCAGTTTCCGACTGACCTGTGGCAGTTGTCGCTTCTTGGGCGATCCCGTAGGTGTGGCAGTGGCAGAACGGGATTGGAAACGCTGTTGCTGAGAAGTCTGTGCCGCCGCCGAAGCTCCGCTGCCTCCGCCGTAGGCCGTGGCGTTGGGTGACCCGTGTATTGGAAGCACTGGATAGTCAATGTAACGATCGTCGGGCGGCGAAAGCGATCCACGCCGTGGACTGCTGCTCCTGTAGCCGTAGCCTGAGCCCGGATGTCCTTGATGAGCGTGATAGTTGTCACTGGGAGCTGCCGAGTGGCTGCGCTGGCTCAGGCTCATGCCACCAGGTCCGATAGCCGAACCGACTCCATTGGCACCGCCGCGTCGATAGTAACCCGTGGCAGAAGACTGACGTGACCGCGAGAGAGCAAAAAAAAGCATTGCATACGTTAGAGGGCAACGGGACAATGGAGAATTAGCTTCAGGCTTTAACCGGGTTTCGGCCGGGTCTGAAGTCCGACATCCGCGACAGCTTACGGCTAGGCATATACATACAAACATTTGCATGTATATATATATATATAATTGTGAGTAGAGTGGCTTTGAAACTCATTCAAGTTAATTAGATGTGTGGATGTGTATGCTGTTTAGGTGTACAGGTGGTTAGATTAACTGTTACTGCAACTTCTACTGGGACACGGAAAATTAGTATGTAAATTAACGGAGATAATTACAGTCAAGTAGTAAAGGCAAACGGAATACGTATGTTTACTTAGCAAGAGAACTCGAAACAAAATCAATTTAAAGACATATGGAAACAAGGCTCAGATCAGCTTGGAACAAAGCAAAGACGCTCTGCTTGGCAACTGATAAAAGCATCGTTAGAAAATGTTGATATAATACAGGCTTACGTATATAGATATATAATTAGCTGAGTTATGTGAATTAGCTTAATTAGGAGTAGCAGTATTAGTATTACGAAAGTGCAACAAAATTGTAGGCCTGGCTGACTAGGAGTAGCTAAATATATGATTGCAACTAATAGTTATGCTGATATATGAATGTGGCATATGGATTTGCCAAACACTGAAGCAGCTTATCCAATAATGGGATGAAATAGGCGCTTCCTAAGTATTTACTGCTGTTGAGTAGCATTGTTCGACCTGGCTGTGTTGTGTGTGTTCACCTATATGGATCCGGTGCTCTGTCTGATTTGTTCTGACTTTATGGAATGTTACGTTAATTTAGCTTAGGTGCAAACCTGATTGTGATAACTTTGTCCAATGCCAGATACTGTGCGATAATCTCTGGCTACCATTCCGGCCACCCGTTTGCGACCCTGGGGCGACATGTCTCGTCTGGACCGACGCTCGTTTAGATCGAGCTGAATTATGTGAGTTTAACGATTTGTGGATGGGAGCAATTTGGGTAGCATATATTGGGTATATATATCCAATATAATCGAGGAGTGGTGGATAGTGTGTGTGTATATATAAAGAGGAGAGATAAAGAGCAAGAGAACAAGAGGAAAGAATGTACATAAATGATCAAACTGAGAGAAAAAGTAAATCAAATGCGAGTTGCATTGCGTCTGTGTGTGATATATATATATATGTATTTGATATATTTATATATATAATCTCTATATATGTGGAAATACGTGTACACGGGCTGGTCTAATGGCTCGAATGGATCGCTAGGTGATAGTTTTTCTTTGTTTGGTTGCTGGGTATGTTGCAACAGAAATTAAAAGTCAAGTAATAAACATCGATACTAAACACTTAAAGCTACAGTTGAAAGCATTCGGAGATTGACTTGAGGCATTGGGCGTGAGAAGAGGCATGCAAAAGCTTAAATACTAGAGGCCAAAGGTGCAGCTGATATTGATAATTGGTTATTCTTTTTTGTGTGACGTGTTTGAGTTAGAGATTTTCGGTTGTTTTGCTTTAGACATTGTTATAGATTGCCTCTTTCGGCATCTTTATGTAGTTCGTATGTGTTCTCAAGTTTTTAAGTTTACACTGATTCTTAAACCTAAGCATTTTGCTTAAAAGACTTAAACGCTATATATATAAATATATATATGATCTTAAATGCAAAGATTATTGTTAGCTGAAATATGATGTTTATGAAAAAAGAAATGAAAGAATAAAGATAGATACGAGAACGTTGAGCCATTTGAAGGCCCCTCGTTGTTGTTAGAATTATTTAGTATCAGAGTTTTAGTATTTGTTTGTAGAGCTGCGATCTTAGAGTAAGGAGTTCAGAAATTAGAGTTTAGAGAGTGAAAAATTTAACACGCACGCACAACGAAACAACGACACCAATTAGTAAAAAAGAGGAACGCAACAAACGAAAGCGAAATAAAAACAGAAAACTGAACACAAGAGATATACAGTTCCAAATGTGTGCAAATTTATGTACACTGAATGGTTCAGAATGCGTTTATGAGCTGAGTTGAATTTCATCTGCATGCTAATTAACGGACAGGGACTGCAATAATGAAGCCTTCAGGCGAGTGCCATGAAACTCGACAACATGGCGTATGCGTGATGTGTGCATGTGAAGGCAGGCAGAAGGCAACTGCCCAGCCTAATAGGTGGCAATGAGATTGACACTTAGGAGTAAAGAAATGCACAGACTATAAGAAAAACTGAAACGAGTAGTTTGAGTGTAAAATGGGGCAAAAACACTTAGAATTCCGACAAAAACTGAATACACTTGCAGAGGGCTAGGTGACTTCATATTGTAAGCTTTTCATACTGGAACTGGAATTGCTTTAGATTGCTTGGTATATCGAATGCATCAGTAGTTTTATTTTATGAATACAGCTAGTAGTATGATTAAATAAATACTTCTTATTTAAGCAAGTTGTTCTAGCATATTGCATATTAAATATAGTTTAATACTTGATAACCGCCGTCTGTATCAAATAGACCTATCTCCAATCGAGTTATTCACTTAGCAAATGCAAAATAGTTGATAAATTGAATTTAAGTGCAGCTCACTTTCAATTGGTGTCACCATATTCTGGCACGCTCTGCAAGTGTACGAGGAAAGAAGGCACAGCTGTGCTGCGGAACGAAGAGAACGAGAGTGGAAGCTACGGGAGTTGTATGTGTGTGGGTGTCGTCTGTGTGTACATGTGTGTGTTGGAGTTTGTTGAAGTGCTGCTGACTGTGTTCTCGTGTGAATATGTCTGTGTGTGTGGCCCTTTAGGCGTCCTCACTCTTGTTTCTGTCAACTTGTACGTACATACACTTATGTAAATCACTCTCTATATATGTCGTGTATATATACATGGAGAATATGTACTTTCGTTTAATTTTGTTTTTCTTATTTGTTAAGTGACACCCAATGTGTGTAGTTGTTGTTGTATTGGCAGTGTTGTTGTTGTTGTTGTTGGTGATGTTGTTACCTCGAACAGCGGCGGGCTGGCAGAGCTGCCCATTGATGAAATGCTGGCACCGGGCGTCGTTCCATCGATGTCGCACTCGGACGTTGTGTCCGAATCGCTCAGACGCGACATCGTGCTGGGCGGTGATAAATGATCTGTCGGTGTCAAAATCAGGCACTCCACATCGCTGCCATCGTCACGTAACTGTTCATCGTAGTTGTGGTTGTTGTTGTTGTTGTCATAAATTTAGACGTCGAAATGTTATTGGAATGGACGAAGCGAGCGACAGCATGTTTTGTTGTTGAAGTTATTTGTTGGTTGTTGGTTGTTGATTGTTGATTGTTGATTGTTTAGTGGTTGGTGATAGGTGATTGTTTGTCAGGTAATAGTGTATTAATTTTATAAATATTTATTTTTTAACGTGTGCACGACATAAACAAAAAAAATGACAATGCTGAGTTAATAATTTTGTTTCAATGGACAGCTGGGGGTAAACATTACATCTATAGTACTAAAACTTAAATAAAAAATAGTAAACAACGAAAATTTTCTGCTTTTCAGTTTTGTGTTAAGTTTTTCGCTCAACAAATCTCGTTCCGGGGAGCTTAGAACACCTCAACCTGGGCTTCACATTTACCAAGACACCAACACATGAGTTAGGAACGAACGCAAACGAAATGAACCGAAACGAACCGGCATGAAACACAAAGACGACCCAAATGAAAACGAAACGATAAGTAAAACGAAACAGAAGCTTGCGACTTCCTTGGACATAACATACGAGATGGGAGCTATCCTGATGCGGGTGCAGCTGGTACCACTCGGCCTCGTCGTCGAGTATGTGATGGGCCAAATCGATGACCACTTCGCCGATAAAGTCGTTCGCGCCATAGCGCACGTAATCCCACAGCGTGACCTGTGGACGGATCAACAAATCAGAATTGACGAAACATACAAAGATGGTTGGGATCAGTGAGTGAATTAATTGTGCGAACAACAAAAATATCAATGAAGAAGTTCAAAAATTAAAAATGGGAATAATTTTTTTTTAAATTTATTTATTGGAATTATACAACTAACAAAAATTCAAAAGGAAAGAACTGATTTGGATAATCAATGATTACTTAAGCAAAGGATCGATTGCTAGGTGCCTATCGATATAATAGTAACTAAACATCAAAGGAAAACTTTGGTGTGTATTCACTAATAAATACCTAACAAGATCAACTGGAGTAAGCCAGAGGATCGATGATCAATGAAATGTGACAAGCTTAAGCTGGATAAAATTAATAAAAATGTAACATACCTCCAGCTGTCGACCATTAAGGTCGCTACGACGCAGACCTGAGTAAAGAAACGTTTGACCCCACCTTGGTTCGCAGGTGGTGCCGACGGTTTTCGTGCGTCTTTTCGCCTTCTGGCTGCGATCTGGCAGAAGGAACACCTGCAAGCAGTAGGCGTATGAGCAACTTGTCATTCCATTTCGCTCAATTCAAGCGGACTTACTTTCGCATAGGGATTGCGCCCGGCGCCGCTTTGACGCAGCGACAGACCCGTGGCGCAAACCAGCGTTACGATAAGCTGCAAGGTAGTCTGATCGTAGCCGAGCTTCAGCTGCAGCCGACCTTCGATGGGTATCGGCTGCGTGGTCACGCCCATGCCATGCCCATGATGCGAGTGGGCGTGCGCGTGTGAGTGCGGGTGAGGATGCGAATGCGCGTGCGATGGCGGTGATGCCGCTGTCGAATGACAATGATGATGATGGCCCGCCGTCGTTGCGCTGTGCACGCCGCCCGAGGCGGCGACGGTGGCGCTACTGTTGCTGCTGCTGCCGCTGTTACTGCCGCTGCTGCTGTGGCTGTGGCTGCTGTAACTGTGGCTGTGGCTGTGGCTGTGGCTGTGGCTATGGCTGCTGGCCTCCAAACGCTGCAGCTGCTGCGAGCAACTACCAATGCCAGCGCCACGATGACGCAGTCCGTTGCTCGAACCACCGACGTGCAGATCCGGAGACCCGGGCGAGGTGATCAGCACGCTCGGCTTATCGCGATGCAGCTCTAGAGCCTCAACGGCAGGTGCTGTAGAGTGAGCAAAATAGAGGAATATATAGTAAACTTATGGGGAACTGTAGCTCTGTATAATGTGTCTTTGTTGTCTATAATTTGGCTTAGTGTGTGGCTTAGACATACATCGTATATATGAAGATCTATTTGACCTAGTCGAGATGAAGAGTTGAATGGCGGACCAAGGCTTCATTAAAAGTAAAGTTATATCTTGCTCAAAGGTCGTTTCTAATATATCTAAGCATTTCCACTCTTTCGCACATACACATTCACACACATACACTCACACACACCTTTACGCTGTAGGTAACGGCCTCCGCTGCTGACCACTGCGCTGGCTGCCATGCTGCTTGCTAAGCCACTGTGCGGAAAGTTGGCCGAGGAACGCCGGGTGACGCTGCTCCCTGAGCCAGAACAAGCGCTGCTGGGGCTAACGTTGCTGCTGCCGCCACTGTCAACGCTGCCAGTGCCAGCGGGTGGCAGCAGCAGCGATCGACTGACCATCAATTCCACCTGCGCATCCAGACGACTCTCGTCGATAATGTCGTAGACCTCATCTGCACTTTTGCTGTGCAGGCTGCGTCCGTTCCATTCGATGATCTCGTCGCCTGTGCAGCGTTCAAGCGATCGTTTAATGATTGTTCATGTAATTGTGAATGAAACGGAAAACAGAAGAGAGGCAGAGAAAGCAAAATAGAAAGATACAGATTGAAAGAGAGAGAGAGAGAGAAAGAGAGAGACAGATATGAGTCATGATTGAGATGTTGGCATGATTTTAGTCTTTACCTGGTCGTATGCAGCCTTCAAGATCGGCCACCGAACCGCGTTTCACCTTCTCCACAATGGCTCTGCATGGGCCTCCGATACCCACGGGCTGGCCGCCGTTCACCTTTAAGCCTAATATATCTTCCCCATCATAGTATTTACGTAATATCATGTGACCAATCATGCGAGTATTATCCGCGGATGTTTGCCAATTCACCGGATTCTATAGATACATGATGTATGTAGGTACACGCAGTGTGGATGGACGGTAACGGTACGGTGGTTGATTGATTGATTGGTAGTGGTGTTGGATGGGTGTTTATTGGATCGATCGGGTGTCGGGATGAGACGTGGATGTCAATTTTGCATAGATTTTTTAAGATTTTGTTGGTATTTTTGGTGAAGCGGAATGTCGATGTTCGTATGCAGGAAGTAGAATGGTTTATAGTTTTAGATTTGCACTGTACAAAAGTCTTATATACATATATATATATATACATAAATAATTATATAAGTATATATATATGTGTATATATATATGTATATATAGCTTAGCTTAAGAACTTACATTTAGTTAAAACAATAAACAAAAAAGTCCAACAACAATGGAAAACTAAATATTTTAAAAATAATTTTATACATTTGGTTTCTTTTCTTTTTTTTGCGGTATACATTCAGTTCTGTTTTTCTTACAAACTAGAAACATTTTCTACGATAGGCTGTTAGGATATTGTAGTTAGATAGTATATAGAATAGTAGTTATCATTCACATTTCGATTTGAGTTAAGTTTTAGTATTATAGACCTACTTTGAGAACACACACGTAGTTTTTGCAATTAGATCAGTAAAGTCAATTAAAAATCTTATTAAATTCGCAAATTTCAAATTCGGAAATATGCTTGAAAATGTGATACGGATTGCTTACAACATTTAAAAAACATGCGACAAAAGAACGTGCTAATTATGTCGAAGTTGTGGGGAATGTGGACAGTGACTAGTTAATATAGAGTGGCGGTAAAGGGGAGCTGGAGCTAGAATTGGAACTGGAACTGGATCTGGAACTAGGACTAAGAGCGTGCCTAGTGGGTTGAGTCTTTCATGCAAAGGACATTGCAGTCAACGAATAGTTAGAGAAATGTTGTATGTTTAGCATGCATTTGTATTGTTAAGAGTTATATGGTTGTTGGTACTGTAAATGGAATTGGCCGAAATCGGCTGGATATTGGCTCTAACAACTGGGAGAGAGAGAGAGAGAGCTTGCCTATAAAGAATGCAAACTAAAACAAAAACTGGGGCTTCGACTTCGGTTTATACAGGCGATAAATGTGAAAGAAGTTTATTTATTTTCGAGTTAAAGACAAAACAAGAACAACAAACAGAGTTTAAGAAAGACAAAGAAAAAGAGAGAGAGAGACAGAGAGAGAGAGAGAGTGGTAGCGAAAGAAAGTGGGTGTATAGAAACAGAAATATATTTATAAAAGAACTGATTGGTTGATCGACTGACAGACAGACAGACAGACAGACAGAGGGGCCTGGGACACACTCAGACTCTACACAGACAAAATGCAAGTTGGAAGCCCTGTTTCAAGGGCGGGGCTTGGATTTTCTTTTTCTTTTTGTTTTTTAGAGGGGACGCTTTGCCTGCATTGTGGGTGCTGCTGTCGTGTACCTTGGGGCCATCACCGCGGTTCGAGTCCTCGCTGCTGGTAAAGGTGCTGCTCGTATCGATACCCGAATCTTTAGTGGCAGAGTCCTGGCTACCCTGTCTCTCGGACTCCCAACGCGCCCAATCGCCATCCAGCGGCTGCGTTAGCTTCGTGCTGGTCAGCAAAGTGGCCGTACCCACATCCACAGCCGTCGAGGGCAGTATGGCGGTAACCGGTGGCAAGGTGCCGGCGCTTGTGTTTGTTGCCACCAGGAGCGACGACTCATCGTCGTGTGCATCGAAACGCACAGTTTTCTTTATTCTGCGCTCGGTAAAACGGCGCGAATCCTGCGCCGCCGATGATGATGATGTGCTGCCACCACCAGTGGCTGGCTCATCCCAGTAGGCCGCCTCTGTGGAGCTGAGGGAGCTGCTGCCGCCACCGGCCCCACCGCCGCCAGCGCCAAGCAGGCCGCGCTCTCGGCTCAGGCTGCCTCGCACTCCATCAGCAGCTGCTGACATAGTGCCACGTTCATAGGCAGTGCCTGATCCGATTACAATCTGCGGCTTGCTGTAGCTCTGTGGATAGTAGCTGCTGCTGGTGCTGCTGCTGCTGCTGCCACCACCGCAGCCACTGGCCGCGGCCAAGGGCGGTGCACGACGAAAGGCAGCACCAGTTGCTCCACCTGCACCACCAACCCCACCAGCCCCACCAGCTCCGCCAGTTCCAGCCGCTCGTTCGTGATTGCTGCGATTGAGCGAGTTGCGCTGCTGCACGTCAAGTCGTGCGGTCCTCGTCAGCGGATATTGTTCCAGGCGTTCGCGATGCTGCAGCTGCAGCTCGTAACGATCTCGCTGATCCGCCGAGGCGTACAGTCGCTGATTCGTCTGGCCCAACAGACGATAATCACTCGAACCGACTGTTAGGAGATCGCGCTCGTTGAGGCTGCGCTGCTGGCGCCAAGGGTCCGTGCGCACCTGTAGACGCCCGCCTGTAGATGTAGGAGGTACTAGTAATGGTTGGCATTTATATATACTCTTTCGACAAGATTTTGGGTCTGTGGGCGGGTTAAGAAGGGAGGCGGGACAAAGACTCTGATTTGTATTTCTTGGGTTACTCAATTGCTCGGATTTTCTTCGCTGTGGGTTCTTTTGCCTGACATTAGTTTGTTGTCCTTTGTAGTAATATTTACGGCGACAAATTTGAATCAAGTGCAATATAAAAATATATACAATTCATTTATTATTCATGATGTGGATGTTGTCATTTGTTTGTAAAGCGAAATGAAAATATATTATTTAAATCAAATACGTAAGAGCGCAAAGACCTTAAGTATGTACGCGTAGTTATAGGAACTGTATTCAGCATCAACTGCGCATGTTTCTTTTAGCTGTTGAGAATAATTATTTACAAACTGATCTTAAGTGACCACTAAAATCTCGATCCTCAAAAGCTAATGTATTTCTCAGCAACTGCTGAATACAGACCCCTTGAAAGTGTTTTAAATGCTTTGTATAGATGTATTTATGTATGTAGTATGTAAGCTAGAGTAAGGATTATATGTATATTAATGGTAGACAGACCTAGTTTCAGGTACAGAGCTGTAGTCGGTGCCAAAACAACAAAGCGGTTGAATGATCAGGAACTTAGCAAACTTTATTGAGGCTTAAGACCTAGCATACATATACTCTATGTGTAGTTTAGAAACAGAGAGAGAGAGGGACTTCCTCAGAGGTGCTGGGATTTCGAACAACATACATAGAACATGCCATACAAGGCAGGACAGAGAGATAGAGAGAGAGAGAGAGACTATGGTGCGTGGGACTCGGATATATATTATTCAGCAAATATCGAAATTCTATAGTACCATACTTATCTGCAGCGGCTAAGATATATAAAAACATTATATGTATATTGCTTTGAGCTAGGTTGGGCCTTAATTAAACTAGTGGTTGGCTTGCTCGCTTGGAGTGAGTAGGAGGGCGGGCAGGAGAGTGTGTGAGTGTGTGTAAATCTAACTGTTCAGTGAGGTTGTGAGGTGTGTTTCGGAACTGAAAGTCTCATTGTGTTTTGTTGGTGTTGTTGAAGTAAGGAGGAAACTGGAAACAGCGTTACGATATCCATGCAAATTCTTCACGTATTTTGTTTTTAATTTTTAGTTGTTTCGTTTTTTTTTTTTTTTTTTGTTTTTTTTTTTTTTTGTTTTTTTGATATACAAGTACAAGTAATTGAAAAGAGTAATTGAAATTGGAAGAAAGAAACGTAAGAGAAATACATATAATATTAAGTGTGTACACAGCGCATCGATCGGTACTTTGAAGGTGTGGAGGGATCTTTTAAGCAACAAAAGAAACAAACAGTAACAAAGTGTTTGAGCAGGAGGCGCATCTATGCGCTTCACACATCGAATAAATCACACATATCGAATAAAAATAATGCGAAACGAGTAAAAAAGGCTAAAAATTGTGGACTGTAGAAAGTGCTCAAACGAACGAAACTTTGGATAGAAAGAGATAAATAGAGACCAAGAGAGTTAGACGACACAGTTTGCAAAATGTACATTCCATTTCTTGTGTGTTTTGAGAAATCATAAGAAAACGATAATCGATAACCGATAACAATAGAAGACAGACACGCAGTATAAATGGTTTCAAATTGAAAAATTCTCTTGATTTTTTGTATTTTTGTTTGTTTGTTTGTATTTTTTTCTTTGCTTACATTTGCATGAATCTGTAGATCGCCGGGCGAGAGATTTGTTTGGACACTTTGCACGACGCCAAAATTACCTGCTGTTGTTATTGTTGTTGTTGTTGTTGTTGTTATTGCAATACAATTTGTGAACAATTTTCAAAGTTGCAAATAGTTTGTGGCGGGCATTATATTTACATATGTTTTAGAGTGGGCAAGTTGGTAACATATAAATATATATATATACATTATATATATATAATTTGTGGGAGTTTTATGGGGTCGCACATTGGAGTAACAAAGAGAAAGAGAGAGTAGAGAAAATATATTTTTTATAATATAAATAAAAACAATGAGAGTAGGGAATTGAGATCACATTACTTATACTAAACTAATTTATAGCTAGCTTATGACTTACGTTTAATATGTGGTTCGATATCAATATCTATATTTTGATACATATGTATTACCATGAAAGCTTCTATAAATTAAAGTTGACAAGTGTTCAAGCGATATTATAATTAATTTTTAAGTATATCTTCAGCGACAAAATAATTTGTTTTGCTACAAGCTGTGAGCACAATGTAAATTGCTTGAAAAGTGAACTGCGGCCACTTCTTAAGCTTTGTATACACACACATAGTTACAAGCACACACACTCACGGCTTGAATGGAAACTAGTTTCATGCCCCACAAACACAGCCACACGCACACACTCACACACACACACACGTATACACACACGCACACATGTGACGGCAGTTGTCCTCCTATTGTGGGCCATACCCCTGGCACGGTTTCTTTTGACTTTGGTCACGATAAAAAACGTTTATTGTGCCCGTAACGACGACAAAATAACGCAGAAAATAAAAAAATATATAAAATAAATAAATAAAAATAAAATACATAAAAAATGCAACTACAAGCGACAACGTTTTAGTGAAAACAAAAGAACTTACGAAAGCAAAGCAAAACCCAAGTAAAGTAAATTACACAGATCTACATTATTTTTAAAAGTTTCGAGATTTTGTAGCTTAATAGTGTGGCCAGCTGAGCAAAAAACAAGCAGCCTATGTGACCAGCCAGCAAAGTCAATCAGTGTTAGTATAATGTTCCAATGAATGCAGCTGAACAAGCTTGGAACAGATTTCTTTAAGAATATATAGTTCTATTCTGTATACTTTAGACTGGCACAGACCCTAGATAGAGCTAAGAAAAATCATTTTGGTAGTTTACAAACATGTTTGCGATAATACGAGCTTTACAGCTTTTCTAAATAAATATTATAGAAATTGTGGATTATGTTTTCTTTAATTTGAAACATATACAGAATATGAAATTTCGAACAAAATTCTTTTATCTTTGAAGAAAGGTGAAACTCTAGTTTTGCTTGAAGCAACATAGCACTTTGGGTTTGTGGACTTGGTATTTTTTGAAAGCTCTGTAACTGACATAAGAATAACAATTGTTGGCATTCAGACATTTAATTATTAAACAAACAACCAAGCAAGTAATGAAATGAATTAACAAATAAATTTAATATTATATCAAAGTCTTCTGACAGTCTTCAGCCTTTCTTGAAGAACACGTGTTTTGTGTTATTGTTGAGCAGTGTTGTTTGAAAGTCAAATGGCGAAACTCACGCACATTGAGGCAGCAGCGAAAGAGTAGAAAGAGAACGAGCGAGCGAGAGTAAGCAATAGAAGCAGAGGCAAAGAGATGGCCAAGGCGAACGAAGAAAAGAAGGCGCAAAAGAAGGCAAAAATCAATAACGTGTACAAACACACGGACGCTCGCTTGTTGGCTGCCCTTTGTTACGTTTGTCTGTGTGTGTGTGCGTGCGTGTGTATATATGTGAGTGTCAAGTCTTGCACAATTATCGCATTGTGCGAAACGCACAACCCAAAAAAGAAGAAAGAAAATCTAAAATCAAACAAACTTCATCTTAGTTTGTGTTTGTTTGGGTGTGTGAGCTCTTTGTATTTGAGTGCTGTGTGTGTTTGTATGTGTGTGTGGCACTCTTGCCTCCTGTTTTATATTTTCGTCCATAAATTCTAGCCAGTTGCCTTTGTGGGCGGCAGCTGCGAGAGGGCGGTCGGTCAGGTGGTGGAACGGTGAGAGGTGTTTGGGCTGGCAAAAAGGACAACAGGCGAGAACAGCTTGTTCTATTTTTAAACCAGCAGGCGACGCATACAAATGAACACGACACACACACACACACACACACACAGACATGCATAGACAGACGCAGGCGCATAAATAGCACAAACAACAACAAAAAGCAGCACGCATAAAATGCGTTGGTGTTGTTGTTCGTGTGCTGTTTGTCCCGCTTCCTGGCGAGCTTCAGTGTTCGCATTAATGTCGCTCATACGCACAGTTGCACAACCACACACATCCAACTATACACACGTACTTTGCTGTTGGTCTATCGGTCAACATTTTAATTAAATTCATCTCGTTCCCACGGCAGCATTCGTTCACATATTTTAATAGGCACACACTCACCAGCACACAAGCTCGCCCACATCGTTTGTGGTCTATATTTATTTACTTATTTACAGCTTTGACACCATCTGCGACATGTTTCGCGTTTCAGCTGCCTTTTGTGGCTGTCATTTAGCCATTTGCTTATTTGGTTATTGATTTCGTTTTATTCATGAATTAAGCTTTGCTTAAAAAGAGGGTCGCTTCTGTTTTTTGCACCCTAAGCTAAATGCAAATAAACACAAAAACACAATGGACCCTTTCCTTATGCTACGAGCGGGCAGAAATTTGACATTGAATCTCAATACCATTGCAGAAAGTGATCGAGTATTTTGGCACATAAATAATATGATATGGAAAATCTTAAAAAAACAGATTAATATAAGAATTACAATTATTATTGACATAATTATTGTTTTTTGCGTTAACAACCTGATTAAATATATAATTGTTACTTTTGATTTTATAATTATTTATATTTTATTTCAATTTTTTATAGACTGAACCCATTGAATCTTAGTTTTTGACAAGAGCAGAAGGCAGGGGGCGTGGCCGACTCTTGATCGGGAGTAACTGCCGAGACTATTCAGTCCTGTCCATCCTATCTCTGTACCTATTGTATGAAAGCTCGGGATTGAAAATTCTTTGTGTAGGCCCTTTTATAGCACACGAAACTCAAGTTCCATCATCTGCTATTATATGAAAGCCTTTTATTTCAATCCGTTAAGGAGCACACAAGCCATTAAACCCAACTTCCGGCAACCCCTGTCTATTAGCAATTTCTCTACACATACATTGAAGTGCAATATTTTAGAA